AAGCAAGAGCGAGCCCTGAGCGAGCGCCCACAGTTGAAGGGACCACCCTGACTCGGGGACTTCGAATGATGGATTTCGAGTCCAAAGGAAAAGGAAAATTCAAAAAGAACAAACGAACGACAGGGAAAGCGAAGGTGAACATGTAAGCTTGCCCGCAGAACGAACGAAAACGCGCGGGTAGCATGGAAGCCGGAAGAGTGCTCGTACACAGCCCAAAAGCACAAAAGCGACAAAAATAAAAACAATATATAAATCAAACAAATCTTCCAATTTCCCAAGGCGCACACAGAACGCACACCCATACTTCCAACTCGAACAAACGACATCCACCATCCACACGGATGGGTACGCAGGCGCATGGATGCGAAACAAAACAAAACGAAAATAACAAGAAAACGCGGTTTCGGTGTGTCCCGCGATGGACGGCCATCGTAGGCGCCAGCCGCCCAGAAGAAGAAAATGCGAGCGCCTATTCCCATCGATAACAATACAAACGTATGATCATGGGGCAGCAGTGGGCGGTGCACCCTGCCCTGCCGCCTCCAGCGTGGTCCCCGCACGCCGCGTGCGTGTGGTGGTGTGAAATGGGGGATGGAAGCGGGGAGGAAGGAGGGGAGAGAAGGGAGAAGGCGAACTGGATCGAGCTTGAGCTTGAGCTTGACATGACAGACGGATGGGGAGAGGGGAGAGGGGAAGACGGACCGCCCGAGGAGATCGTATCAAAACCATCATTGAACATATGAGTGTTGCGTCGAGTGAGTTCGGTTTGGACCAGCCTAGAGTGTGGAATGAAGAGCGCAATCAGCGAAACATGGATCCATGAAAGAACGCGCTGAGAAGGATCGGTGGGACGCGTGCGCATATGCATCGTATAGTAGAAGAAATAAGATGGACCCACCAATCGAAATCGCAAATTGGAAAACAAAGAAAGGAGGGGATTTAATCGGACGATCAAAGAGTTTGGGCTTGGAAGAGAAAAGAAAGTCGAACCACTGATCGAAGAAGATGTTGAAAAGAGAGAGAATGGGGAAGCGAAAAGAAAACATAGTTCATGGAAGACTCGAGCAGACGCAGAAACATGAAGCCGAAGCTTGAAGGAGAAAGAGAATACACCTATAGTACGCGAAACCCTCTGCCCCGCCTCGCGCCTCGCCTCTTGCCTGCGCATGCAGACGAAACGCGATAGTAGCACTGATTACTGATTAAAACAAGATAGCGTTAACCTTGGGCGCACACGAGGCCGATTCCCCACACTCACCGCTCGTTCCCTGCCGTCTATCTTTATGATTTGTATTCAATCGTCCGGCGAAGGATGCCGTAGGGGCCCGTACACGGTACACCCATTTAGCGCCAGCTTGCTATTCTGGGCTTAGCTTGCCTGCTGTCCTTGCTTTCTTTCATCTTTTCATCTTTCGTGTTCTTCCTTTCGACGTGCCGTGCCCAGGTGCAGTGGGGATTAAGTAGGATCGTAGGTTGTGATAGTGTGGCTAGGCTCCCAGTGGACCCCTCGTCGGAATCGGACAACAAGTGCGAGTTCGAATTCAAGTTCTGGATTGTGGAGAAGGATCGATGGGAGTGACAGTTCATGACAGGCTGAGGGGAAGGAAGTACACTGGCAAGAAGCCAGCCAGACAGGAAGAGTCCAACTGAGCCCGAGACAGAGACACTCAGGATAGAGTTGTCTGACTGACAGAACTGTCGTGAGAGGGCCACCTGAGGAGATTCAGACACGGTCGGAGCGCACGAACCGTCGAGCCGTCGAATGTGAAAGGGGGCCCGTCAGAGGGAACGCGGAGGGCACGAGGCGGCACAGTCGTCTCAGTAGTGTCCGTTGGGTGAAATGCAATTTGTGCCAGACAGGCAGAGGCGGCCGAAGAAGAAAGACGCGGACTGAAAGAGAATACTAATATGCGTCATGTGGACGGGGGAACGCGGGACCCGCCCTTTCATGATCACTCACTTATTATCATTTGCGCAGCTGCAGCGCTGCGGCAGGGTTTATCGATTTTATCGTTTCTTTTTGTTGGGACCGAACGGGGCGAACGGGACGAAGATGGGCAGGCAGGTCAGGCGACCCACCGAGCCGAGCGCGAAGTTCGCTTCGTGCCGTGAATCGTGTCGGGTTACGTCATGTCGAGTCGAGCCGTCGAGCCTCCCTCTGAGTCTGGCCCAGACCGCGACAGTGGTTCACCGGCTCGTCTTCCGTCCCTCCACCAACCATCCCGATTTCCACCATCCCGATTTCCTAGCCCCCTTCCAGAATCCGATTCCTATTGGCAGCTAGCTTCCACCCATTTTCCGGTCGTCTTCCCTCGACGTCGACGTCACTTTTCGGACACATGCGAGGACCGTCGGGCGTGCAAGGAGAGTAGTACTCTATGTATACGTACGAAAGTCGGGATGGCGATCCCGAATTCCACTTTCGAATTCGAATTCTCTTTTCCGGTGTCGAGGGGTGTCTACGAACCAATTGCAACCAACCAACCAACCAACCAACCAGTGCAGGTACAGGCTGTTCATTCGTCCGGAGATGCTAGGCAACTTGCATAAACGGTGGTGTTAACGTTCGAGTTCACACTGTCATTCGAGAATCGAGAAGTCGCCGAGGATGACCGTACTTACGACCGTGGCGTCCACTCGTTCTTTCAATCGTCCTTTCACCATTGATATGAAAGAACGTTCACTGCCTCGCAGTTGAAAGACCGCACCGACTCCCGAGCTTGAGCTTGAGCTTGAGCTTATTGAGACTCTGCCATGCTTCACTTTCTCAACGGCCTGCTTATTAGCTTCCTTGGTGCTTACCGTGAAACGAAAGTAAGTGAAAGGGAGAAGGCCGGCGAACTCTGGATAGAGTAGAGAAGTGCTAACTATAGCACTTCACTTATCAAATAGGGGGGAACTTGAAATAGAAAGGCCTGGGATGGTGGCCATAAGGAGAGGATGAGAAAGAGGGATACTTCGAAGATATAGTATTTAGAGGACTTAAGCCCGGGGCGTACGGGGCGCTATCATAGGACGTCCGATACGATGTTCGATATTGATACACTCTGGAGCTCGAGCAGCCTCCGATTTGATAGTCTACACTATACTCGCTCACTAACCCGCTCTATGATTGGACGGTATGCGATGGGATAGGATAAGATGTCAATGGGACGCGGTACGCGGTACGTGGTACGCCGATAGGATTAGCGATGCAATGACCGATACGATTACTTACCGATGCACAACGCGATTACCGAGAAGGCAGCGTTCAAATATGACATCTATTCATAATCAAACCAGCGGTTGGTGTTAGTGTTACAGTTGCTGGGATTCGCAATTCGTGATTCGCGCTAGGCAGGAGAAGAGTAATCGAGCCGTACGCAAGCCTGAGGTGGGAGGAGGGCCCGCAGTAACGAACGTTCTGGTGTCCGCGAAATGTACAGTGTACCCCATTGCCAAAGAGATGCGTAGCCGAAGCCGTACGTGTGTCTGACAGGCAGAACAGAAAAGAACCACCTGAGCGGGCACCCCACCTACAGCCCACTCGGTAAGCCCGCTCGGTAAACAGAACAGAACAGAAGACTCGTCCGTGTGCGCAGGGTTCCAGGGTTCGCCGCCTCGTTCGCCGCCTCGTTCATAGGCCCAATGCGGCGAAGAGGAAGAGTGAAGGAGCGAAGAACACCGGGTATCCCGCATCGCGATAATCTCCACGCACCGCACCGCGCCGCGCCGCACCGTGACTATGTTGTGCATGCGCGTACGTAGGGTTGGGAGGGTGGGAGGGCCGGAGGGCCGAATAGTGAATAGTAGTATGCGCGGTGCAGCAGGAGAAGGAGCTCGAGGTGAGGGTAGCAAGGTGTGTTCCCGTGAATCACTATCAGCAATGAGATTAGCCCGTACGCGTGGAAGGAGATGAGAGGAGGGCCAGGAATCGGGTGTGGTTGACCGGCGTGCGCACCGAGCTGGGCTGAAAGGGAAGGCTTAGGTTGCTCCCACTGGCTTCCTGGCAATGGATGGGTGTCTGCGGGGAAGGGAAGGGAGAGGAGGCCGAACCACCGCGTCATGGTCCTTAGGAGGAAGTGAACCAGACCAGAACATTCCGGCTCATTCTCATTCCTCGTCTCCTCCCAGAAATAGACCGGTTCACCTCCCGTCGGATCGCATCGGGAGGGATCTGAACCCCACCTCCTCGCCCACGCCCATCTACAGGCTCAATTGAACGTCCCCAAGATGAACCCAGGCCACCAGCCTGCGCGCGTGCAGAGGGCGTGGTGCGATGCCTATGTGTCTTCCAGTTCACCGTCAGCCGTGAATGATAGATAATCTATATGGATCCAGCGATCGGAGGGGGCGTAGATCTGGGTCCTTTCAGCACCTACATACACGCTGCACGTACCCAAGGTGCGCAGATGAGAAGACTGACGACCCAGAGAGTGAAAGAAGCCAGAGAGATATCGGCCCTCTGTCCATCCGATTCCGAACTGCCGGGAGGGAAGCCGAATCCGAATAAATAAGAAGGGGCCCAACGCGAGCCGGCCCTCCCCATACATCTCATACCTTGAACCCAAGAGGACCCACCCACCCGTACCGTATCCGGCTTCCCTCCGTCCACATCGCGTGTTGCTTGCCCCCTTCCTGAATCGTTTATTGCTCTTCCGGGCGAATTTGGAAAGCAGGCGAAGAGAGCTGACGGGGCTATAAGAGTAAGCACAGCTCGGGCTTTTCGTGAGTCATTTCCCCCGTACTTCAACCAACGGTCTTGGACCTTTGTCCCCCTCCCCTCGTCCCCTCCCCCACCCGTGCCCCTCTTCCATCACCACTGCTAGCAGGTGTGCTGATCAACGAACAGAACAGCCAACACATCGCGCAGAACACCAGCCGCTCATCGCAGTGGCCCAAAGTCAAGCCACAAAGTCATCTGATTAGCCGCGGCGATTATAAAGCCGCGCCTCAAACACAAGCAGAACCGTCTCACTCCCCTCCTCTTCCTCTTTCCCCACACCCCACCATCGCGAGCGATGCCCCGCGCGTCGTCCCCTTTCACCGCCTCTTCCGCCGCCACAGACCCAGAGGACTACTACTACTGCCCAACCACGACGACCACAGCAGCGGGAGCAGGGACGCGCGCGACGTCGCCACTGCACTTCCTGTACCCGACGATGATGATGCTGCACCATCACGACCGCGCCTGCTCAGGCTCGGCTGCGAGCTCGAGTGGTCACCAGCACGACCGCTTACACTCACACTCACACCACCACCCACACTCACACCACCACCACCATTCACACCACCGCGACACCCACACCCACCACCTCTGCTCAAAGGACACGATGAACTCGAAAGACACGCCCCACGTACACGCGCTCTCGTCGCCCCACCACTCCTCGCACGGGAGCAAGCGCGACTCGCGCGCAGCGGACATTTCTCGCCTGCTCGACCCCGCGTACCGGCCCTCCTCGTCCTCCGCGCACCCGCACTACGCTGGTACGAGTGCCAGTACGAGCGCGTACGTCGACACGCATGGCGACCTGCACGACCCCGACTTCCGGCACTTCCCCTCGCCTGCGGACCGGGAGCGGTTCGCGCGCACCCGCGGGGCGTCACCGACAAAGGGTGGCAGGAGCAGGGCGGCCTACCGCCCGCATTGGGAGCGGGGGGACGAGCTGGCGCTGGAGGATGAGGATGAGGATGGGATGATGAGGAACGAAGAGGACCACCAGCTCGATGCGGACTCGGCGTACTTCCTCAGCCACCCGCGGTACACCTCTCCCACCTCGCGCCGCTCCTCCGGGGGTGCGTCGCACCATTTCCGGATCCACACGTCGCCTTCGTCGTACTCGTACGCGCCGAGCACGGGCACAGCGTCGAGCGGGTACTCGCCGACGTACTCCGTGACGAGCACGCTGCCGACGTCGGTTGACAGCGGGGAGACGGTGTTCAGCGCCGAGCCGTCCCCGTTCGATTCCACGGAGAAGGAGAAGGAGAAAAGGGGCCTGCTGAAGCGCAGGCGGTTCTCAAAGGGCGAGAAGGAGAAGGAGCGCCGGGCGTCGATTGACCTGGCGCCGGCTGTTGAGTTGTCGGAGAAGACGAATGAGGAGGCGGAGCACGATCAGGAGCGGGGGCAGGAGGAGAAGGAAGGGCAAGGGAGGCGGACGAGCAGGGATGAGGGCGAGCGGGAGCACCCGCAGCATCAGCGGGCGAACAACACCGACGACGATGAGGAAGAAGAGGACGACGACCTCCTCGCGGGCCGGGGGGAGACGGGCGTGCCGACGTGCGGCGAGAGCATCAGGCGGCAGTGGCAGGCCCTCGCGCTGCGTTTCCGCTTTGGCGTATTCCGCGCGCAGAGGCGGGTGCGCCGGCGCGTGCACTCTCTCCTCTGATAGCGCTGACGTCACGCGTCTTGGTCACCTGCCCCACTCAACATCCCGGCCTTGGTTCGCATCGATGGATCCCCCTCGTCATTATCTCATCTGCACCATCGTCATCTCCCTTCATCTGATTCATCTGCCTCGTCATCGATTATCGCCCTTCTTTGCTTGGGCTAGTCTGTCTTCTTCCTCTCGCTCTGGCTCTACTTCTTTTCTCGGAGTCGCATTCGTATCGTCATCGTCATCGCCTATACCCGGACCTCCAGCCACGATTCGTTCCATTTCTTCCTATCGTCATCGCCATGCATCTGTACTATCCAAGCAAGCAAGCAAAGCAAGCCGGACTATTGCACCGAACCAGTCACTCACCATGTACCAAGCACTTCCGATTCGTTTCCGTCATCCACTTCCCGCTCCGTTCACGTTCCGTTGTATCCATCTGTTTCTCCTGCTCTATCTTCCCTTCCCTTTTCCTTTTCCCTTCACATTTATTCGCTCCGTTGCCACTATCCACTTCAGTTCCTTCCTCTACAGCCAGCGATACCCGGACACGTCTATCCATCGCACATTCGCACAGCACATTCGCCACGCACGCATACACGGTTACACGGCTACAGCATTCGCATTCGCATTCTTCCCATCCACATCCACCTACACGCCCTACATCCTACATCATCGCCTCAGACACCTGTCTGTTTGGATCTCATGCAATGCTTCCTGAATTCCTATTCGCACATTGTCCTGGTTTTCCCCTCCTTTGTGACTCCGCACATGCTCTTATTCGCTTTCGTTCCCATTTTTCATTATGCTGTATTACTACTTCTTCTCCTCCCTTCCTCTCGTCTTCTCGGCGCGGTGGCTTGACGTCACCCGCCTTCCCTCCACATCTTCCTCTTTCCCTTCCCTTCCTCTTCCCCTGCCATGCACCACATGCCCCTCCAACCCCGACCCGACGCCAAAAAGACACTCATGCTCATGCTCTTCTTAACGCACATGGGACTGTTCCACCTTCTACCTTTTCCTTCCGTTCCATTATCCCTATTTACCCTTTACGACCCCGTTACGACCAACCACACCGAACACTCATCTTGATTTATTCTTCTAAATACAAGATTTTCCTTCTCTTTTCCCGTCTTTTCCTATTTCCCCGATTTTTTTCCCTGCTTTTGCGCTTTGTAGCTCTACTCTATAGCGATAGGCTAGAGGGTTCCTTCCCCATTCCTCATTCCCCTGCACGCACCGAACCGCACCGAACGTACTTTCTTCTTTAGAGGGTACAGATTCTTACACAGTTCCGAAATTGTATGATTAGCTTTTTTAACGTAGGTAGATGATTTTGTGGGGATGAATGAATGAAAGAGAACGTTGATGATGATTGCTATTACTTGCTTTTGCGTGAACGCCTGTACAAATCTAAACAACTGGAGTGATTTAATCATTTACTTGCAATCAGAGCAACGGTCCAGGAGGAGACCTGGAGAAGGAGATGCTTTTGGTCGCCTTCGGTGTCCTACTGCAGCATCCAGGTCGAGATGGGTACCCTACCCGGCCGACACGAGGCGGGCGGTCCTCGTACATACGACTTGCAAATTCCAATTCAGAGTTATCTCTCTTTGTCTGCTTTCGGAGTCGGACTTGGACGCCATCGCACTTTTCTCAATGTCATTCCTTTAAGCCTTTCGTCATTCCGTCACTAGATCAACTGTCACCCTACTAGTTCGCCGGCAGCTGCAGGACGCCCTCGTGTACGTGTACGGTGTCCGGCGTCTTCTGTCCGCTAAGCATTCATCACAATCCATGCCGTTTTATGCATGCCGTTCACGACGAGGACGAGGCCGTCTATACCTTTCCTAGTGATATTATGATTGCATTTCGACTACGTGATTGAATTGAATTGAATCGAGGCAATATATGAGGTATTCGCTTTGTCGGACCGTAGTACTGGTCTTAGCCCAGAGGAGGAGGAAATTAGAAATTAGAATTAGAGGAGGGCGCCGGCGTATCCCCGTAAGCGCCTTGCTCCAGCGGGTGGGTTCGGCGGGCGTGGGTCGTGGGGCGTTCTGGAGTCTGGAGGCACGCCGTGCGCTGCAGGAGGTGGGAGGAGTAGAATAAGGAAAGATAAAGATAAAGATAAACGTGAAGGAGAGACGGACGTCCACGCTAGCGCTCGGTCAACTGGCAGGACGGGTGTCCTGCTTGGCCGTGCGTGCTGCGGTTCTACTTCAAAATCGAAGACGAGGACGAGAAAAAGGGACATGATTAGTTAGGACTTGGAATTGCGTGGTTTACGTGGCCATTGAGATAAGTAAAGAAATCATAAATCCAGTGCGTCGTCGTTCTGGACTGCGCAAACGGGTGCTCGAGGCCGACGCCGTCGTTCAGAATCAGCACGCATGGCTCAGAATCAATTTGCGGCTCGGTGCCTCTTGCCAGTGAGTACATACTACTAGTTGAGCGCTCGAGTTAGTTTCGAACCGTAGACAAGTTTCATGTTTGAATACAAAGTAGACCTGGGATGGTCGTCACGGTCAAGCCCACCGAGGTCGAAGAAGGTGTTGAATTCAAACCCTCAAGGTCAAGAATTCGAAGGGTTGGATTTAAAAGATAGCTGTTATTACTTACTCTATAGCGCACGTTTCCTACCCGATTCAACAGCCAGAATGCGCGGAAGGAGGCTTGACCTGGACAAGCTTACAGAAGCCTGGGTTTAAACTATAGTATTCAAGGAGGAGAACCAACGGTCGCCCCTATCTAATCTGCTCCCTTCACCATCTTCTAACCCCACTCGTTTTCTGAATCAATGCATCAGGAAAGGGCATCAGCGTCTATCTCCGTAAGCGCCTAACCCCACCCGCCCATTCAATAAAGTACACAAACCCTCATCTGAACTTCGCCTTCTCCTGGGCCCTGTGGAGTCCGCGGTCGAACCAGCTGCGTCAGTGTGAGCGGGGAGAATTCAAGCGGTCAAACCACTTACTCTATCACAGCTCTATCATAGCTTGAGGTTGCCTTCACGCTGATAATTACTCGCCGGACTTCCTTTCATCTCTCGAACTTTCCTCTGACGAGATGAGTCTTTGATGACTCTTTGAGATAACAAAATTAGCGATTAGCTTTCTTTGACGGGCCCGGCGCCTCGTCTTCCTGCATTTAGTGGTGAGATGACAGGCCTGCTACTTATAATAACCCTCCGCCCTCGCTAAACCACTACTTGACCCGTTGAGCTCTTATCGATGAGTGGCACAGGCGCGAGGCGCCTTGGCGAAGGGCGCGTGCTCAGCCCGTGGTGGGCCCGTGAGCAGTGCAGACAGCGGGTTGGGGCGGCACGGCATATGGGCGCCTTGTGCCCGAATGTTTCAACGTGGAACTCCTTTGGGCGATCTTTGAGGCTTTGAGCATTGAATTTGGGATTCAGAAGGTGAGGACGGCGACGACCCTGCAGAGTCCTAGGGCGCGAGGCGCGAATTGACAAGTGAAGTGAGAACACCAGTGATACCCCAAAAGAATCCGGAACGCCCAAGGTCCGGTCTGGAAATAGCAAATGCACTCTGAGGGCAGGCGGCGCAGAAGCGTGGGCTTGCTTCCATTCTTGTGGTACGGCGCGCGCGTACGGTGAGGCGAGGACTCGTCAGGGTTGCGACGATGTCGACGGGAATAGGAAGGACGAAAGATGGAGGGTGGCCGACGTGAGGGCTTTCGATGAAGGAAACGGATGACGGTGCGGCGAAGAGGTGGGTGACCGTGGGTGCTAGTTACCGCTGAGGAAGGCAACGGAGCGCCGGCGTCTGTCAGCGGTTCGTATGCGGTTCAACTGAAGACGAACCTAATATTTCTCACAAACGAGGAGCACGCATCGGAAAAAGACAACCGCGCATTAATTCACCGAGATCGGGGTTATACACGCCCACTCGTCCTCCCACCCCTGTCCCTCATACATCCAGGGTTTCAGCCCCAAGTACGATCGAGTTAAGGTCGGTAGGGGTGATCATGAGCACCGGCACTGGTACAGAGCAGGGGTAATCATACTAGGCGGGGCGATCATGATTAATAGATTTAGAGGTAGGCAAGGGTCCCACACCATGCCCCAACGCTTCACGGGCAATTGTACTTACAACGAGCGAACTTGCGTGAAGTGCCGCTTAGTTCATTCAGCACCCTCCTTCGCACAAACAACGGAAATGGTCGTAATAAAGCGTAATAGAGGACGCGTCGCGGGTACCTTCCCTCGCTTGCTTGACCGGGCCCGTCACGGCATCAGTGAGCGCGCGGATGCGGGGAGGTAAGCTGGAAAAGGCAATCCCGTCGCTGAATTCAGGCGAGCGCCACAGCCTTCAGCACGTAAGGAAGGATCGGGCCGGCGCTGTTCACGCTGTCGGGGTGAATATTTTCCAGTTGCTATTCCACACAGGTCTTTCTAGCTTTGTAACCTTCCGACCGTCTCTTGATCATCTTTTGCCTCGTCGTCGAGGCGTTTTCGCAGAGCTTACTGAGGGGACCCACCAGCGATCGCGAGCTCCAATGCGCGAATCGGACCATGAAAGACCTGTGCGTATGCAAGGCGACTCTAGTTTTCCCATGAATAATGGCTACAGATCGAGCTCCGGTGGTCTTTGACGACCGTCAAAAGCGAGGTTGAATGGAGGTCAGAAGAGATACTTTGAGTCTAATTTTATTAATCCTCTGAGTTTCCTTTTGGAGAGCGACCGATCTACCTACGAGCTCAAGCTCCAACTCGAAAGAAAGTAATTCCATGAACCGGTTTTGTCTTCCCTGAGGTCAAATTGCGACTCAGCACAGTGTCACCGGCCTCCAAAAAAAAATACAGCTCACTCGGAACTTCCGTACTACCTCGTATGATCAGCCCACCTCACCTCAGCGCCGACCGCCCAAAAGCTCGCAAGATTGCGAGGGAATCGGTCCGATCCTAGTACAGAAAGGTAGCTAAAACGCCGTCCGTGCTTCCTGCCAACGCCTGGCGGTGTGCCCGCTGACATCCTGGCTCCACCCCACTTGCACCTGCAGCGCGATCGAGTACGCAAGCATCCCAGATCGGGGTTCCGAGCTCGCTTGCTGCACAGCACGGCAGAGAGAATGGGAGGTGACAAGGACCGACACGCGCCCGCGGGACACTTGTGTGGTCAGCGCGCCTGGGGGGACAACGAGGCGCGTTTGAATGCTTATTCCATCAGCATCAAACGCGAGGCGCGACGCGTTTTAATTAGTGTCACGTGTTCGTTTGGCCCGCGGGTTTGCCGAATCGGTGTGTTGGTCCGAACCGAGCCTCAGGCTGAACTGCTGCAGCAAGGAAAATTCAAGGTTCTCGAAATTTGATGGCTTGTTGGAGTCATTGGGAGAGGACTTCTTCTTGGATTTTGGCCTCTGCGACGTCGGAGCACCGAACACTCGGACAGCCGCCTCCAACGTCCTGCAGCGTTCTGAATGACTCGGAGCACTCCAACATGTATACAGTGTAAATAGATTGAGAATACCCTCTTTACGAGAATTCGTTCATAACTGAGATAGAATAACGGCAACACTACGCAATATCCAAGGCTTTTCGTCATACAAAAGCTTATATTTTGAGATCAGGCGACGCAAGCCTCTGGCGCCGCTCCTCTCGGGAATCATCCGACGTACCCCCCGGACGTCAGTCAAAGACGAGTGGGGTAGCAGCTAAACTTGGCTCTCGAGGCGGTTCACTAATGTGGCGCACTAGAAATTAAATCGGGTACTAAAAATAGACGCCCGATATTCGACCCAGAAAGGCTCGTGCCGAGTTTGAGCAGGTGTAGGTCCAGCTGCTCTCCAGACCTGAATTCCAGAAGTATAATTGGATGACTCTCATCCAATGAGAATTCTAGAAACTTCTAGTATGTCCCCTCCTTCCCGAAGACCAGGCTTCAGTCGAGCCCGGCCAGTGGACAATGGCTTCACAGTGCTACCATATTCGAAGCCTATCGGGAACCGCATGCATCGGAGATTCTCAACTTCCCTCCGAATGAAATCGGGAACAAGTGGAGTGGAAATGAGGCTAGACTAAGTATGTTCTGGGATATTTCAGAGGTGTGGCGCACGAAGCACCTAGCTAAAAATAGAGTAGATTCCGATGGTGCGTCGGAAGTGAATATCGGAGAAGTCGGAGTACTTCTGGCTTGGTACGAGGAATCGGAGAGGATCGAACGGGGGACATGGTTTGGCCTGGGTGAGGGCAGACGTTGACTGTGGCGTCTGGGGTTGGGAATCCATTGTGGCTTGTGTGGCGCAAACAGAATCTGCGCGTCGGGGATTTGCATCAGATGGATCACCGTTCCGCTATCTTTGATCGCTGAAGCGAGAGTTCGAATTCATGTTACATCACAATTAGATGCTGATTGCAATGAGACGTTCTAAATGTGAAATATGGTACCAGAAAAATTAGTATGATTATCCGGGCGGTTCTAGGTCATGCTCTCGAGGTATCCGTAAACTTTCTCCGCTTCTACTGTTCATCTGCGTCAGAGAATATCTCTGATATAGGCCCCCACTGTTTGCCAGCCCAGCTTCCGTCCCGATACGGCTATCATCCTGAACCTCCGCGCTGAAACCCAACTCAAAACTGTGGGTATCATTCGCCCCTGCTTCCTCGAGGAAAGGTTTGTAATATGCCTCTCTTAGGTTGAGGACGAGTCGACAGCCCAGGATGCAGGGAATGAAGGAGAGGATCATAAATGTGAACTGGGGTACGTAACGCTGGGAGATGAAGCAGTGATTAGCCAACGCCAGTCACCTAACACAACTCTTGACGTACCGAATACGACATCCACGTCAGGAGGTTTAAGACTGCGGCAAGCAATCCGCTGTCGAAGTACCGCCGTCAATCATAGAACATTCCCCAAATCAACAAAAAAAACTCACAGGAAGGGAAAGGTAATGCTGTCCCGAAGGAGAATGTACACCAGCGACCTGCGACTCGCGCGCAATCTCATGTTGGTCACAGGGCACACGGCGCGGTAATACTCAATGCCCTTGTTTAAGGAGAGCCCCAGGACGGTCAACTCGAACAGTATGGGCGCTATCCAAACTAGGTAGACCCATTTTGGGAGGATCTTTCCGGCACAAATGACGACACCTGGATCAGAAATGGCTGCACAGGAACGTCAGGTTTCCTGGACGAAAGACGCAACTGCAAATACAGAACGTACAAATACCGTTTATCCCCGCGACAAGTTGGATCACAAGCCCGCTGACGATATGCGCAGCGAAGGCTATGATGAGGACGGTAGTAACCTTGCGGTCGCGATTGTACATGCTTGATATTCGATAAACCATTATACCTGTTTAACCAACGCAGATCATTATGTGAATACGATGACACGACCGGGAGACAGCGGCTTACCCTCCATAGCACAATATACAACTAATATTAAGTAGCCAATTGACAGAAAGTACTGTGAACCTGTTGCGCTTGATGTAAGTTTGTGTTAGACCGGGTCGTGAATCGACGTACAGCTACCGAAAGAGTCAGGGGACGTCATGCCACGTGCGAGGAAAAGGCTCACCCCTACGAGAGGTACATCCGGGAAGTTTGATTTTGATTGAGTACTGGTGCAGAATGAAGTATATGTTTCCGTGGTTTCGCACCTGTGCTGTTGATGTAAGAACATGGCGAACAAAAACTATCACGAAACAGTTAATGGTCTGTGCAAATGCTTCCACGAGAAGGAAACGACCAACGCACTCGTGGCACTATATCTGCAATGGTCGAAGGCATAGGTAAGGGCGTGCATGAATAATTGGCATAAAGAACCCGCATTTGTACAGCGTCGCCAAGATAGCGATTCTGGAAAAAATTGATGTTGGAGGCGGATAGAGAGAGAGGAAAAGAACAGTGCTTACGACGAAGAAAAGGAATTGAACCAAGCTCCACTTCCTTTTCTAAAATTATCTACGCGTGAGGGCCCTTTCGAAAATGATCGATATCTAGCCGTTTACCCATACTAGTTCAACCTGAAAATAATTAGGCGAAATTCAGCTTTTTCATGTGGAGCACGGACCTCCGCGTCGAGTGTCGTGACTGAAACAACAACAATGGGTTCACTCAAGGTAGGCCATGGAATTGCCGGGACACGTACTGTGGTCATAGATAACGCAAGTAGCTGCTGCCACTAGGATCTGAATGAGAAAAGCACGAAGAAAAAAAAAACTGAGTAACGTACACGCCACCAAAGCTAGCGTCCTCAACAACAGTGCGTCCTCTGCGGGTGTATATTCCCTCGACATTCCTCCCTCTCGTCAGAGTAAAAGTAGCACAATTCGTGATATCTGATCAGAGGTGGCAGTCGGAAACATCTAAGTCGGAACGGCGATTGTTGTTGGTGTTGTCTCGTTCGCAGTCGGTCTTGTCGGCCTGGGTAGTCGGCGCCTGTTCTAACTTCTCCGTGGTTTGTTTCCGAAGGAGGAAAGGACAACGTTCAAGGGTAGTCGTGCGAGCTCTGCTTTGAGCTTGCGAGACCTAGTGAGGAGTCCAACGACGAGAAGAGATGCGGCCGTCGCCGACAGGTCGGATACACATGAACGATGGCAGACAGGAGGTCAAGGAGAATGGTGGGAATTTCGGCTATGTCTCGTTCCATTCTTGGCGATTTCCGCCGCACAAAAGGACCGACGCGAAAACGGTGACGCATTGATGGGCGAAGACAAGACAGTTGCTGAGAAAGACATTGTGACAAGACCGCTCGTTACTCTTCGAGGATAAATTGGATCCAAAATTTGGGATAGACCGCCCTGGGGCATTGGTCTTTTCAAATCATTTGCAATAGAATTCTAGGGACCTTAGATAAAATGATAGCAGATAGGTAGAGCCGCACTTTATTCGAATGCAACAGATTATGCCTCCGTTGGTCCATGTGGATGGACGGGCTATTTTTAGAACAGCCGTCTAAAAGTAGAGAACGGCGCTCCAAGAGCCAGAGCAGGACATGGAAACCAAATCGCTGGAAAACAAACCAGAGTTGAAGAATATTGGATATTGGATTGTCTGCTCGAAATAAACAGACGCCATACGGCATACGGTGCCGGCAATAGAGCATCTTCCAGTACTAGTAAGTTCAACCACCCGAAACTCTCAAAAGTGAATCAGAGGCTTACGAAGAATCTCGAGTTCAAGAAGATGTATGGTTGCGGTGTGAATCGGCTCACTTGTTACACCTGGTTCAAATTAGCAGAGCAACCCAACTAGGCGCGGTCTAATCTTCCTGCAACGGACCAGTTGAATCGTTTTTAACTGTGGGACTAGTTGACCTCTTGTTCCCAATTAACCAGCGAGGCGCAAACCATAGCAAGCTTAAGGGAAAGAAACCAGCTCAACAGCATCGAGGATTCAAGGTAAGCACTACGTCTAAAACGTTAATTCTCGATTGTGATCGCGAATACTAGAAGGAAGAAGTGGGACCTGGGCGGAGCTCGATAGGCGGAAAGAGGAAATGGGACTCGGTGTGGTGTAATGGGCACAAGCACGTCGAATTCTACGTGTAGAAGGAACGCATCGAGGGATCACGATATGAATCTCTCTGCCAGATAAATCACATTTGGAGCGCCAGCTTGAAGGAAGATTAATAACTCATTGACAGTAGCGCGACAAGTGGGCCCGGGCATGCGCATAATACTTGCGCGTTGTGTAACCGACGCAGCATGGAAGACAGACACCAAAATAGTAGAGGACTGTGTTTTGGCAGCACACCCATGTCAACAACTCGCCAAGTTTTCCCTCCCTTCCCAAGAAGAGCGGAAGGCGATATACAAGGATTTTATCAAGTAGAATAACCTGTTCTGAAACACGAAACTGAGCTTCTAAATGATAAAAGGAGTGAAATCGGGGCCTGGTTGAAGGATCCGATGCTTTCGCCATGAGGAGAGCACCAGAATTTCATTCCTTTGAAGACAGCATACACAGAAGCAGCGGAGAAATAGGTATGTATGAGACCAAGTCGTTAGCGGCCTGGACGGATGGGCAGATTACCTTCCGATCGCGAATTGCTGAGGGGAAATGAACCCCATGAGGGGTGGCATGCCATTCGAAACAATAGACGAATGCACTCTGGGAAGACCCGAAAACTGAGATGAGGGGGACTAGTAGAAAATGCCATCTTACGGAAGCTACATGCAGGAGAAAAAGTCGCATATGGATTGGAAATGAATTGACAGGCCTTTCGTGGAGCCTGTCCGAACGGAAGAGCCAGGTTGAAAATTAGGTGAATGCGCCGTCAGCCAGTCGACTGGACCAACGTAACCGTACTAGGAGCGAATTTACCTGAAAGTAGACGTTGAAACCAGGAGGCGCCTCCCACCACGACGCTTGCTCTAAGGCTCCGACGATCGCTGAGATTTGAAGCCAAGGTCGAATGCTCAGGTTAAGCTACCGTTCGATCAGCCTCGGAAGGCACCACGAGAAAAGCTGGTTGACAATGGCCCTAGTTCGCAGGCTAGAAGTCGATTGTGGGCGATCCATTCACGAAGAGCATGTGAAACGAACGCGGAAATTATCCAGTCAGCATGCTGCACAATGAGAAGAGCTATACCGCGAACACCTAATAGGAGTCGAAGAAGTCATTCGGGTCCCATCCTCATCTGGCAGTCGCGAGCAGGGACTGAGGGCAGATTATCGACCTCTTCGTCTCGATCGTTTATCCAATTACACGCCCACCAAATACCATAGAAAATGACGACAGTCACCCCCAAAAACGCGGAGTCGCGTTGGCAGAACAACGGCGTACGCAGGACAGATGCCCTAAAAGACAGGAAGGAGTACTGTCATCAAGAAGATACAGGTATGAAACGTACCCCGACATCATTATACTGATGTTGTGCCGGGAAAATGAAGACAAGATTGGGAATTTGGCGCCATCGACCTGTAACCAGAGGCAAGTATCCTGCCAAGAAGAATCATTTTCACGTCGAGAGCTGGGGATCGAGAGCAAAGGAGGCGATTTAAGACTATTTCTGCGTTGCGATGAGTAGATATCATTGATTATCCTGCTTGATCAATGGCAGCGACAATCGAGGAGCAGAGAGAAATCGTTTCAGCTGGTAAGGGACGCCGGGGATTTAGTCATAGACAGCGTTACAAGGGTGCACCCTGACGGAGCGCTTGATGTCGAACATTTTGCCGATGTTTCTTGTGGTCTTTAGTCCGACTTCTCCGTTAATTGCCGTAAGCGAGTGTGTTAAGCGAGTGCTGTCGTTTTCGAAGGATAAGATACAGGTCCTAGGGACACGAGTTGTAACGAGAATGGCGAAAAGTCGAGATCTGGCAGAAGGATAGTACGCGAAGAACCGAATCCGTCTATTCGACTTCGGGGGTGGGACGTGCTTGACGCGATGCTGGGCAAAGGGTACCCAGTAGCCCGTTATGCGAGGCCCGGGGAGGTTAGATCCATCAGACCTCGAATGCATGCCGCCCGGTCATACTTGCAGCCATTCAAATGGTCGGAACAGGAGGGATCCGAAAGGAGAACTTAAGTAAGAAACGAGGCCGTATGCAAGACGCCGCTCTTTTGCTAGAATGAAATTGCAAGCAAGTGTGGAAAATAGTTGCAAAATTAGTGTGGACTTGAAGGTATACAAAAAGGGGGTGAGATCCAGAATAACCTTCAATCACAGGAACATCTGGAGAGATCCTCGAGCAGAGAGGCTCCTATGGAAGACGGGATTCGTTTGAAGGGTTCTTGAGATGTGGAAGGAATCTCCAGTCGGATGCAAGCGGGGCAGGACTTGATCGACAAAAAAAGTTGCCACCATTGTGTACATTGGAGCAAACAGCGCTCGTTCACCCAAACGGGAAATGTCAACGAACAAAGCCGGAAGAGAGCGACAGCCCTGCCGATGCATACATGTCGTGGACGAGGCGTGTAGGGAGAATAGGGAAGGGTCTCTTCGAGATGGGTGTCGTCGGTTTTCTCGGAGAGCTAAACGTCGTCCCCAGCACATCGTAAATCAAATGCAAGGATTTTGCGATTCCTATTCTTGTTATCAGGAAAGACAAGCAATGACCATTGGGCGGTGTCCACTTGCCAGATAGTCGGAGAGGGATTGACTGGAGCAAGCCGTCACGGGTACTGCGCTGTCTCTCAAAGCTGCCAGAAGCTAAGAGCCTTACGAGTTTGGGGCCTCCAGCAATTAATAGACCACAGTCGAGGCAATGTAGATTCTCAGAAGGCCCGAATTCCGAGAATCACAGCAAGCAAGCAGTGGGGTGGTAGACGGAGGAGCCCCGCTTCCCAGGTCTGCAGGTGTAGTGGATGACTATGAGTTGATGTGAGAACTGGAATCAACGCGGACACGGCTCCCTCCCGCGATCTGATAAATGGTAATCAAATCCAAAAGGCGACAATTATGGTGCCGAATGTCAGGCGCATTCGGTCCACAGATGTTGGAGCTACGGATGTCAGACCGGCGTAGTGTCATCTGATTCTGCATGAGGCTTGTTCCTGGTGGGCGATGAACCAGGGAAGAACACGACAAGTGGCATGAATCCGCGAGGAGGTGGGCTGAGAACTGGCGCACTGGGTCAAGGGTGAGTCGACGCGAGGTGCACACGAGGAAGGTAGTTACCAAAAGCGGCGTATTCGTCGCGCCTGGACAAGCCCATGCGTTCGAAGTTTTCCCTCGTGTCAAATATACCTGACCCTATAGGTCTAGAGTATTACGGGATTTATCAAACAGGAGTTGAAGATGAGATAAAATACTGAGAGAAGGCGGGCCTGAAAGCCGGAACAGAAGCATGACGCAGTGGTTGCTGCTGCCTATCAGTATTAGCATCGAGCGATACGTCAGCAACACGAAGAGAACATAAGAAGTCGAGAGAGCACCTGCAAATTGTATCGGACCGCAGCATGGGTGAAAAAGTTATTCTAGTTGCACAGGGTCCTTCATCGTGCAATGAGTGCGAACTATTGGGGAAGTGCAGGGTCTCGTGAGCTTTCGTCTTCGCGGGAGAGATAACTGATCAATACACAGAGGTAACAATGAGGTTTCGATGATGGTTTCAGGCAAGGTCTTTGAAAAATCAACAGTGCTTCCGGAGTTCTGATGAGAGGCGGCAGTATTGGAGATTGAGAGAAGATGCAACGGGAATTTGCGAAGAGGATGTCTAGATACTGGGAAAGTAAAGGGTCGAGGTTATGTCATTGTCAATGTCTGTGGCGCAATCACGACAGGAATATGCAGGCGAGCAGCTTACATTAACTCATTTGAAACTCTTCTAAGGCCGGCCAAATGAAACAACACTAGTTCACTAGTCACTCCTGTGGTTCTAAAATATAGCAATCAGCCAAGTTTAACTTGAGCACAATGTTGCAGTTATTTACTTACTTGGTTGGAAATGCGTACTGTGAAGTGTAGATCACTGAACCCCAAGTCTTTAACCACCCCCAACGTGGTTGAGCACACCGCGGTTGACAAGTCGCCCTCGGACTAGGTCAACAGTCCGGTTTGGGGCCCAAGTCGTGTTGATGTGAACGAAATCAAGTTGGTCCCCGAACTATGGGATTGACTTGGGCTGGAGAAATGCCCTGAAGTCGGCTGCCATTCCCATTACTGCCAGCAGCTCGAGTCGAGGAGGAAGGAGGTACGGCCGAAAGGATGACCTGACTCGCAAGCCGCTTTCCGAACGCTCCTGTAATGCAATTTCGCTGTTACATGAAGAGAGAGAAAATCGGGGCACCTACCAAAAATGAAGCACGAAGCCCGGGAAGAAAGAGTGAAGCTTTTAAAGGACAGCTCACCTTTCTCCATGTGGTAGATGGGACTTGTTCAATCAGCAGTTATTTATCGATAGGAAAGGAATATCCTCTGAAGACTGAAGAACGATTGATGGACTACAAATCTAAGGGGGTGTCTGAAGGAGGAAGCGGTGACGAGAAACCCCTGAATTTGGTGCGCTCATTGCGGTAAGCCGAGTTCCCACGCCGTATGTCCGTTTTCTCCTCCACCGACTTGACCGCATAAGAGCGCATACGCAGCATCGATGCTGTCCAAGTAAGCCCACAATCCATTGTCTTACGGCCTTTATCTAACGGAAACCCGCTGGTATCAAATTAGAAACGTACTGCCTCCATTCCACAATGGCGCTCTGTCCTTTATCGCGACACAGCGCAGGGCGGTGCGCTTAAATCGAATCTGCAAAATGGGAACACGAAACGTGGGGTCAGCGGACGCCGACCCCTGAGCGTAGCATGTCCCTTTGCTCAGTGCACGGCCGCTGGGCGTCTACGCAATCCCCAAGACCGCCATATGATGTGGGCCGATCAAACACCACGCGGGATTTCTGACACCTCCTCGCCACTAAATTCATTGTTCTCAAACCTCTTTCGGAGCTTGCAGGGAGACAAAGATAGCCAGGTGCTAGCTTATAGCCGTCTATTTCCTATCTTTGCCACCGCCGCTGGGGTTTTCAGACACGCCCACCGCCGCCACTGCGCCGACTAGCATCACTACCATTCTCTAGAGGAGACCACCTGAAAAGGCTCGATGTCTTACCTTGCTACTCTTCTTCGACAACCTCCTGGGACATCACATCCTTCTATACCTTCGTGTTCCCGAACGCCATCTCTGGAAAGACAAGATCGTGAACAGCAGGCCCATTTCATCACTTTGTCTCGAACGTCCACATCGTAAGTTTTTTCGCCCTTGGTATATATGCCGACACTCATTTCCTCTACTTTCATTCTCTAGATCATCGAACACTGGTCCTCCAAGTAGAAGTCGATCTGCACCTCCCATCCCGAACAAAGTGGCGACATCCAACGGGTCGTGCATGGACACGATCGTCTGCAGCCCCCACTCCGTAAACGTCGAGAACCTCTACACGCTCAAAACAGCCGGCAAGAAGGCCTCGAAGGACTCTTTTTTCCGGCGATTTTCGCGCATACATGCAAGCCACAAGACGCATGACGGGGTTTCTTGTTGTATAGACGGAGACTGCGCGGAGCACTTCGACGACGACGCGACCCTCATCACGGAATCGGACCCGATACCATTGCACCACCATCCGATCGACGAGGAGGGCATGGGCATGTTGGCAGTCGAGGACGAGACCCAGCAGGTGTGTTTCTTTTCTTGATGCTCTATCTGCCTCAACTCTAACGAGACAACGTCTTTTTAGCGTCCAAACCGCCCCAAGAAGATCCTTGAGCACATTCCAGGTTTCTCAGACGACGAGGACGAGTCTGCTCAGCCGTCCACCTTACCTCCGCCTCCTTCTCTACGGCCACCTACCTTCTGGGGTTTGCGAGCACGACCCTACTTGCCTGAGTTCATCATTGAAGAGGAACCCCGGACGATTGTACATCATACCCATTTGACCCCTCCTCCTCGGCGAGGAAGGCAAAGTGGCAATCGAAGCAGGCTGTGATAGCCAGAGGTCTTGCCCGCGCCATTCAGTAATTACAATATCGTCTCTTCTCTTGCCCTATTTTCCTTCTCTAACATGCGGTTTTCTAAGCACTGATCTACTTTATGTATTACAAGTTACCTGTAATCTCCTCGAATATCTGTATATTGTACTGTAGAAGCTTTATACCAATCGATTTCTTGTACCCCGACAAGGTATGCCACTAGAAATTCCAACACCACACAGCACATTTTGAATTGTTAGCACGACGAGACACATACAGGCAACTGTCAATACGATGTAGCGATTCCCCATTTCCGGGACGTGAGGCTACAAGCTTCAAAATGTTCCTTCAACCCAGCAAAACATCGCCCAATCACTCCTCAATCCTAATGGATTCCATTGGACTTTATCCCCTTGCCTGGACAGCAGCATGCCCGTTAGTGCCTCCTCGGCTCTGTCCGCCTCCGCGACCACGTCGGCCACCTCTCCTTCCGTACCCACCCCAACCGCCAACATACCCCCCAGGGCCCAACAATCCCACACCACCAGGCTCGCCAAATGTCGCCACATTCTTCTCGCGTTCCTCTTCCCTTCTGTTCCTGCCCATGCCTCCTCCACCTCCTCCACGCCTTCCACGACCTCCATTCCCACCTGAACCGCTCGGACCCGAAGCTAGCGCGTTAGAAGATGACGACAGCGAGTCGAAGAATGACTTTTGCGGATTGTATGCCGGGTCGGGCGTCTTTTCGCCCTCGGCGCCCGAGGTCGCGCCATGCCCGTCCTCACCCGCGGCGTCCTTGCCTGGCTTCTCAAACTTGGCGTTGCTGCTCTCGAAGTCGAAGTCTGTCGTAGGCACCTTGAGGGCCTCGTCAGATGGTGCACTACGTCCTCCTCCGGAGCGGCCTCCCCGCCTGCCACCTCCGCTACGTGCTGTGTGCTGTGATGGGGCAGAGCCCTGCCCGCCGGTGATACGCAGGTCGCCCATGGCACGACTAACGGTCTCGAGCGAGGCCGCAGCGGTGTGTACGGGGTTGGGGCGGCGGTTTGATGGCACGGCCTGTCCCTGGACTTGGCCCTGAGGAGCTTGCTGCTGTTGTGGCTGGACAGCTAGTTCTGGAGCACGAGGTTGGGCCTGTTGGGCGTACGTCTGTGGTTGTGGAGTTGGGGCTGTTGCAGCAGGTGGGTAAGGCGGCTGGGGAGGTTTAGGTGGATCTGCAGACGCCTACAGAAAACATGGACGTCAGCAAACACTCTTTGGAATGTGACGAGTATAAAGATGGAGACATGCGAATCAGAAGGAAGGCAACGGAAGACTCCACATGGGGTTTTGCGCTCTCGGACAGCAAAAGTAATTTTACATCCGTAATAATTCATCATATTGGCAAGGAAAGGGCAGTGGAGGGGAGGAGGTGAAAGACGTACCCTAATGATAGCTGGATCATCATGCACACTACGTTGCGGCTGATGCACTTGGTCGTCTACCGACAGGTCTTTCACTTCTGATGCACGGAAAATAATATAATTGTAGGGGTCCGGATTCGGTGCGATATACTGCTGTGGAGGTCTGGTACCTCGTTGTCAGAAGGCCTCCGAAAGGCGTCAAAGAGGCTCACCGCCGTGATTCCGTGCCCATGGAATAAACTGTACTTTTCATCAAATGCCTGCCGCCAAGGAATGAATTGCAACCCTCGCACCATTGGACAGCTGTATCGTCGACGCTTGGGGGTCAATACCCGCCAGTATTCCTCGGTAACGAACATCTGAGTGTGAAATGAGGGAAATCGGTTTCCTAGACCAGTTGGATGAGCCTTGTGCAAATTTCTGGCGCGTCAGAGCATACCCAATGAAACTTTGCGCCATTTGAAGATATTATTGAGAAAAGAAAGAGAGGAAAAGGAGAGGGAAGTGGAAAATGATGAAAGAGGAACGCGCACGATGTTGACGTGTTGGCAAAGAACGTGTTTTCGAACTCCGACATCTCCCTCAACTCTTTGTCTCCTCCCACCAGTCAACAGTCAAACCTAACTGCTGTCTCGATATGCCAAAGATATGCATCTGAATTTAACCTTGTGGGTCGATTCATCTAGTTTTATTCTACTTGTACAAGAATTGGCCTCCGCGGTCTGAATCACCTCGAATTTGGCCACTTTGGACCGTTAGACTCGCCATCATCAATCTGTTAGCACTTACAATTGGTATTATTTTCGTCATTCGATGAGTTTTCAGACATGCTCGACGAGACTTTTTCTCGCAGCCTATGGCACTGAATATTCCATATAATTTTCTGGCACCATACTTCCACATCTCCGTTGCCGCCCCGATAGAATATGAATTCTGGCGTCCGAAATTTTACGATTGGGATGGAAATGGAAATAGACGGGTGTGCGAGCCTATGCTGAATATGCCTTTCTCAAACCTTGGAAAGCGTCGACTTGGGTCCGTGGATGAGAAGAAATACAAGATAATTGACCACCATCTAATCAGATCTTATCTTATCACGCTTTTGTTGTCCTTGTTCTTTACCACCATGACCATGCCTCACGCCATCAATCGGCAAAGACTCAGCCAGAGTCGCGATGAACAGCCAGCTATCCTTGCCCTCCGTCTGCAAGCTTTCACGAGTGCTGTGATGAGTTCTTGTCCGATGGGCATTGGCATTGCTTCAATGATGGTTCATCGCGTCTGTGATGACGGTTCAACCTGATGAAACTTTTGCTTTCGCTCTTGCGTTCTGCCGTCTTTAATTCTGGGTGTGACTCTGCCTGGTCAATGTGCTGCATTGTGTTGCCTCGCCGCCCTTACTTTCTCTCCAGCTGGAAACTTGGACGCCTCAATAGACCTTTCAATGGAATAACTGGAATTCTGACGAGATCGCGATGGGCAGAATATTCATTTTTCATCAGCAGACTCCCCGGACCAGTTTTCACCCGATTTAAAGAAACCGTTTCCGCTGGAGCCTGATGGTCTATTTCAAGAATGAGTTTGTGTTCATCGCGCCTCGCCAGATTCTGTAATTTTCTGTTTTCCACGGTCGAAGCTACAGCTTCGCCCAATTCCCTAGCCTCTTGGGGAAAGCGACCCAACTGCCTTGGTGGTGCAACATTGAGTGAAGCTTTGGGCGATGAGAGGACGGAATCACCGCACTCGATCCTCAAGTCTTCAATTGAACTCCTTGATCATTCCAGAGCATCGTAGAGGCATCCTGGGGAAGAGGTTGACAATCAGCCCTTCGTGCTTCTCTCACGTTGTCCCGTCATTCAGGCTATCTCGCACTGGACCTGATGTTTAAGTAGGGGTTCGTTGACGTGCTCACTCCTCAACCTATTCTGCATCCTATTTCATATTTTCCTCTAGTGTGCGATTGTATTTCCTTCGCCGCATCATAAATACCTGGTTCTGACGAATGCCGGCCAGGACTTCCTTTCGTCATGCACTGAGAGTGCACTTCTGCAAGGTTAGTGATTGATCGCCCCGCAGTCGCCTCATTTGTCTCGTACTCAAGATTAAAGTGTCAATTGGTACTCGTCTAGCTAGGAGGCCGATGAGGGTGCTGGACCGCCTACCATCGATAGCATCCTCGACGTCGAACGACTGCTGTCATTTCACATGTACGGCCTACCCTCACCTTATGACCACTACAAACGTATCATCGAATTCGAAAGTATGTGCCCCAAGTTTGGAGCAAGAAGTTAAGTTAATCGTGCGCCACAATGACGGACAGTTCAGCATGAGCAACAGAAAGCCATCGAGCGGGTTCGACTGCTCTGATCACCGAAATCGAGCCGAGCTGCCAACTGATACCCTGGGCTCGCAGACTTCATAAATGTCGTAAGTAGCTAGATGGTAGTTCACCGGACTATCTGTTCTTTTCTGTACAGCGGGTCTGATAATAAACAAGGGCAACTATTCCCATAGCATATCGTTGACTGCCAAAGTGAATCGGGAGTCATCCAGGCATGGGCGCCTGCACGAGGAGCAATAACAACCAAATGGTTCATGGAGAAGCTGTATCCTCGTACGATTTAATATTGACGAAGATCTGCAAGAGGCGCAATACAGTAGTCAGCTGTAGATATGGTGACATCGGAAGAATAATTCCCGACCTTCCATGCATGAACTACAAGTCGAACCAGCCTGTAGCTTCGATTCATCACTTCAGCCCGCTCTAGAACTCGGGATGCGGGCAAGAGCACCAGTCGTCGCCCCGCAACGGAATTCCATTCTCATCGGCCTACGGAACACAGGTGAGAGCCTCGAGAGTTATTTAAGAGTCAACAACCCGACTGAAAAGGTCAAGAAAGGTACGTGTGGGCTTCTGGAGACACTCGCGGAGACGGCGACAGATTGTGTCCGCTCCGTGCTTGTCGCTATCTAATCTTGTCGCTGACCATCCAATCCATCGCATCCAGCATGTTAACTCGAGAGGTTGAGTATGTCGCTTCCATTGGTGGATGTGCATTGTGAATCTCAAGGATGGTCGTGCAGACAGAAGGCCGCGCAACGACCGCGTCAGCCTTTGGAGCCAAGATAGCACTCGATAGCACCGGAACTTGCTCCTACCCACTATGTAGTCCAGCAGCTTCTAAGCAAGCACAAGTTCGAGTCATCGACCCCAACACGTTGACCAGTGCTACAGCTGAGTGATCCATGAGTAGTAGTAAGCCACTAGAGTCTTGTTGAAGACAGCAGCGCAACCTCCATTCCGACCGGAGGCTTCGAATTCAGATTGGCACGGCGATATGACGACGTCCATCTAATCCGCTTGATTATCCGTGTCGATGCCGGAAGTGTGATTTGCGCTGAATAGCACTGGGGAAGAAGCTAGCCGTGCCAGCTCGTCAGGGCTAGCCGTGCCAGCTCGTCAGGGCTCGGGTCGGAAAGCAGAAAACATACGAAGCAAGCTGCATTAGAAGGCTAGCACACGAAAACGGCAAGATAAGGCAATCCTGAGGTCCAGGCCGCGTTCAATCAGCGCAGAGACAGCTATGTCCGCGTCGACCATGGCCGTAGCAAATGTCTGCGCCTACGAAGGCGCTAGAGAGGCCGAAGACGCGAATAACGGTGACATCAGCACTTGCAGGGGTCGGCGGACGTCTTCCGTGTCCTCTCGGGAGAATACGCGTCCTAGGCCGAATCGCTGCGTCGATGATTACTGTGCCGCGGCAGTCTGCGCACCGAGGAAACCAATCCGGGGCGTTTTGGGTTGGTTCGAAGAACGAGCGAACCAGTAAGCGAACCGGGAAGGATGGATCGAGGAAGAAACACGGGGATCCAAAGTGAGAGGTTCAGAGTGTTCCGTGAAATTCCGGCTATGTTGCGAGCGAGCAGAGTGGACGCCGGGCCGGGGACTATGTGCGCCACAGACTCCTGAAATTATCAGACCATCTGGGAACCTGGTCATGATACGACAATCATGCGCTGCCAGAACAGGAGGGCGTGTCAGGTACCTAACCGGCTGGATCTATGGTTTTCCTTCTGCAAAGCCTCGCAAATTTCGTGGACATCATGGCCCAACAGATAATACAAGATGATCGATATAAGTTCAAACCTCAAGCTATTTCGGTCCGTCTCTTCAGCTATGCAGAGGGGTTTTACTCGATAAACCGTGAGTCTTGGCTTCGTTCCACTAGGAGTGCGGGAGAACTAACACGGAATTTTTACTCTATAAATAACGGAGTTAATAATAGTCCAAATGTACTAGAGGGCCAAATTTTCTATCCAATGGCACGATAGAATAAATGGACGACATTTCATTCTCTCCCAGGGGTATACCTAACTACAAAGGCAAACGCTTCTAAATGGACCCACGAAAGGCGCTTTGATTCAGTTTTGATTTACGCAAAGAAACCGCAACGGTACTCGCAGGATTAGCCATAGTGAAAGCTCCTATGTTCGCCGAGTCTTTCCCGAGTCCGGAATCAATGGAGCACGAGAAAATCACCAGTATCAAATGACCCAGTGGTCAAGCAAGGAAAAACAGGAATATCAGGTCCATCTGCACGAGGAGCTCCGGAACATCGCGTGAGGGGATAATAACAGAATTCAATGAAGGAGAGCGCTCTCATAGATAATGAATCTACATTTTAGCGCGGGATACTTTAAGCGATGCTCACTAACTATGAGAAACTTCAGCGATGCCTTGAACCGTCCTCCAAGACAAGAAAAACCCCGCATCGAATCTTCGCTGTATTATCGGAGCTGCCAGCAGTCGACGTCGGTATGCTACTCACTTCAATAAGAAGAAAGCTCGTATACCCATTTAAACGCGTTATAACCGCAAGCACATCACCTGCCCATATGAGACTTTTGAGTCTAAGCTCGATAGTCTTGTCATGACCGAAGACAAGAAGAGTTTCGCCGGAGTAGTGACGCCCGGCGCGCTTTAACTGCGTCTAATTGCCATTAGCATGAGACACACGTAGCTCTGGAAGAATTTTACCTTTAGGTGGTCACTTACCTCGGTCAATACGTTGAAGGGTGAGGGGGATCTTAAGACTCGGAGGAGAGTACTACAGCTTGTCGAGGGGTTTGGGCCAGACGCCTCCATCCATCAATCAGTCAATAGTATCAGCCGCACTGGCTCCAGATGCATATTTAGGCCATAACCTCTCGTTACACCAGACAGGGAAGAACTGATAGAGCACTAGCGCACATCGGTCCAAATTGCAGACAACAGCCGGTGTAGCGGGCCGGCGGAGTCAATACACGTGCGGTTGCTAATTCTGGAAATGACCGTGCGCCACATCCTCGACCGCGAAGGCAATGCATCGGTTATCGATCCCCACTCTATACTCCGATATTTGCTCACCGTGGCATGAAAAATCAAGTTTCTGTCAGGTGACCCCTTCTGGAGCTGCTCTGGACATCATATGTCAATGAGCTGAACTGACAACCAGTTCATAAGTCCAAGGCTATGTGGATTCGTGTGGACTTCATGATCGTTATCGAGAATTAATTACTTGCCAGCCGCAGGGCGACAAGCTTCTCCCCCTGGTCTTCACGAGATTCTAGCACCATCTCGCCTCGACGGATGTTCGACTCGAAGCTGTTTTCCAAGAATAGCACGAACTAATTAACTGGCTTGACAAAGAGAAGGACGACCACCATCGGAGATGAACTCAAGGCCAGTTTATGGTGAGACAACACGATTCGTTCTCTGGATAATGATTTGCAAATGCTCAAACGTCGGTGAACAACACGCGAAAAGTAACTTCTTCATCCCGTAAAGCCTCCTGGACAGTGGGTTGCCAAGAGTCCAACTCGCCTCGACATCTCCTACCATGACAAATCGTCCTGGATGCAGATAATTTCAAGGCTTCTAATTTATTAATCTACCGCCGGGTGGGCCGGTTACACGTTGGTCTTGTTTCATTGTGGCCAGACAGCTGCACGCAATCCAAGACGTCTCGTCGCCTCGTGTGAACTTGAGCCAGAAGGCCCAAACCGTGTCCTTCTTGTCGGCTTGAACTGTGTCTACAGTACTTCATATAAAAGTCAACAGGAGATACTTTTCTCTACTCTCGTTACCCCATGCTCCTACATCGTTTCTTTCTCAGCACTTCTTAGCTACAAATTAGGACGACCGTCACATGTCTTCGGGCGGTTGGAACATCCTCGAGCCAGAGTGGCTCAGCTCCTCTTCCCGTATTCCATCCTCAAGAATCCTCGGCTATCATACGTCTGATAATCGCGATGTAAAAGATCTATAAACCAGATAAGTGTTCTCGAACTATTATTGTCTGTGTCCCTGACCATTACGAGATCTTGTAGCCTTTCCACCCGTTGCCTTCCGAGGAACATTCGCATTCCCCCTCGTGTCTTCCACGCGTCTTTAAGTACTCAGCTTTCGATCTTTTCCTTTCCCGTCGAAACTGGGATGTTGACCCTAATCACACGTTTTCTCTTCCATCGCAGCGATCCAAGAAGTGTTTGACGACTTCCATCACGATCATAGAAGCCATGCTAATGATAAGTGTCTTGATATTCCATCCTTGGTGTTGAAGTCGATATTGTCTACTCGACCCGGATCATAGCCTCTACGTTGGAAGGCTCCTCGTCTTCGAAGACTTCTACCATCATCCCCGAGCCAAAGTATCTTAATCAACGTCAATTCATGAGCACCCCACAGAGATTGACGAACCCCAGTCGGCATTCTATCTCGTCGATCGCCATGGTCAAAGTGCGCAAGAGTCACTTTCAATATTTTTGCTAGAAGCTTCCTCCCCAAACCGGTTTTCCGACAAATCTTGGAACCATCCTCGGAGGTCTTTATCACTCTTGGAAAACTTCTGTGGTTTCCGTGAGGTGAGCATCAACACTAGAAATAGAATTTCGACTGACCTCCAGGTATTTGAGAGCCCCGATCGCCAAATTGCGTGATGGAATCAAGGGGTTTGGCCCATCATCCTCTTGGGGAATGAGAAAGAGCCTGTGTATCACGGTAAGACGCATGTAGACCCTTTCGCTTCTGCCTACCATGGAAAGACGCCAATTCCATCGTACATGGGTCAACAGAAACTCGGTAAGTGACGTATCGAGGATTTTCCCCTCAACTAGGTCATATCGTTCGTTCGCATTGGCACCAAGCGCGACAGAAATGGGACTAATGACATAACACTGAGTAAATCATCTTCCATGAAGGGGGTAGTGTAAATATCGATATACCACCCTGGATGACAAGGCACATAGACAAGGGCTTGAAGAAATGATTCAGAAAGCATCGGATGATAATTCTAGCGAAGCGATGAGTCATGCGTGTTGCGCGGTTCCTCGAGGAATTCGCACAAAAATGGATATAATTCGACAAGCTTCAAAATTGTTGAGCGAGCGGTATGGTCCATGTCGAACATATCCAACAGTGCTCCCCAGTGGTCGTCGGAGCTCGAAGGAAGTTCCTCAATGGAAGGAAGAAACTCTTGTGCTAAGTATACGACGAGAAAAACCAGCATGAAACGTCCTTGGAATATTTTGGTCATGACTCGTTGAATAGCTACTTCAATGGGCCTCGAAACGACTTTGCCTTCATATATCTGTCTCCGTGTCCAAGATAATATGGCCCTGACAGTCGATAAGGTCGGTGAATCCACGATGGCGTCACCTGTAGTTTCAACTTCGGTTAATGCAAAGTCGAAGGAGTAGACCACTGCAAATAGGCTCTCGACGGAGAAATCTCCCGTGGCGCCGTCATCTTCCTCTATAGCAGATATCTACCGTTGGGTTGTCAAAGAAAGAAGTCACTGCATAGCGAAGAAAATCCTTCTCTGCCCTTCTGTGCCTGTTATTTAGCGCTGTCGAACCTCGATTAAATAATAAAAGGAGTAAACTCACTTCTCAAAGATAAGATCATGCTCGGCTGACTGCGACAACGCCCAGATGCAGACCTTGATCTACTGGATTCGGAATGAGTTGTAAATGTCGCCAGAGCGTTCTGCATTACATAGATATTCGGCCAAAGGTTGTATGAACCGGAAGCCAACCCTATGAGGCGCCACCCCCAGGCATGAAGTCCACCAGAATAAGATGCCTGTTTAGCCTCAGGAAGTCGATTGCTTCGTCGACGTCACATTTGCACCACAGAACCAAGGATGAAATGTTGATTGCAATTCTCTGGGCTCAAAGAACCAAAGTCTCTGGGACTCTTGTAATCAGTGCAGAGCCTAGGAGGTCCCTCTCGTAACCGCGTTGTAAGATGCAAGGGCAGTTCTCAACAACGTCGTGAAGTATTTGAAGTCGAGATGTCATATCGGCCTAACGTCGTTGCAGACTCACTTTCTTGGCGGCCTTTAAAATGGCATGCAACACTTGAGTCGGGCTTGGCGTCGGGTTGGCAGATTGCGCGGGCAAGGATATCGTCACCTCGAGAATATACTGTGCCATAATTTTTCTCGTAGATTGGAAGACCAAATTGTCGCCTGTGTTTCCGAAATACTGGAGAACGATGGGCAGAAACGACCAAGTCTCCCTTCGAGGTGCCGGCGGGCATCCCAGGATGAGAAAGCTGAAGACGTCGGCGGATACAGGGCATGGAATAAGATAAATGAGGCGCAAGTACTACAGTGGCAAATCAGCTTCAACAGATTAGCAAGATACAAGGTGACAAACAACACCGCTAGAGCATCGTCGAATGTGGCTATTCAAACCATTCAGAGCTTCCGACAGCCATGCATCTGCTTATGCTGTTTCCATCCATCTCTCAGACACTCCTCGTCGCAGAAGAAAGCGCGACCTTTGCACGAACCTGAATCAAATTGGCCGTCAATGAAACTCTACACGGGGAAGGAATAGATGCAAATCACATATCACCGCACTTCTTCCATCGTCCCGCACTTCCGCACGCAAAACACCTTTGCCACGGACCAACGCGTGCCGTCCGACTCTCTAACACGCGTTCGCGCTCCTCTTCGCCCATCGCCTCCAGCCAACCCTCTTCCTCCTCTCCCTGCCCATCAATGCGCCGCACGTCCACGCGGAGCTCCCACAGGTCGCAGAATGTGCGCGAAGATCCAGGCCTGCCGGAGGGCACCCAGTCCGTGTTGACGTACCCGCCGAAGAGATACGTCTTCCCTGTCGCTGGGTCGACGAGCAGGAGGGACTGTGCGCGGTACGTCGGGAATCCACGCGTAAGGACGTGTTTCCATTTGCCGTTGGTGACTTTTGAGAGCTTGGCAGTCGACTCGGGGTGTGCAGAAGAAGGGGCAAGAATGCTGGTAGGTGTGACAGGTGTGCTGAAAATTCCAGTGGTGCTAGGTCGGGATTGGGCGGTGCTCATGGCAGTTTTCGGGTTGCTGAATATCTTAGAGTTCGAAGCTGGCTCTGAGGGTGGAGGAACCGACCATTTCCGGCTCTCGTTAGGGCAGAACATGAATGTGTCGGCGAAGTAGGCAAATGGGAAGAAATTATTTTCGAATTGAGTTCCAAATGCAGGGTTGTATCCTCCAAACACGATCGCTTTGTCAAGCTTTGGATTCTGTTGAAATGTGAGTCAGATTCGTCGTCGAGAGAGAGGCATAGAGCTGATTCGTACATAGACACAAGCTGCCTCTGACCTCGGACACGGAACGTTTCCAACCAGCCTCTCATTCCTCCACTTCTCTTCTTTCAGATCGAAACTCCAAAGGTCCTCGTACGCGTAGCCACAGTCGGCTGCATGTCTCTCATTCATGTCCTGCCCACCCGAGCGGTCCATCTCGCCTCCAATGAGATAAAATCTCTCCCCTTTTCCGTCCACCCAGCTGGACGGTGTCTTTCGCGGACCAGGACATGTATAATCGGCCTTTTCCCCTGCAGTCATCTCGCCAGAAAGCCGCCTCCACACCATCGTCTTCAGGTTGAGCTGCAGAAAGAGATTGCTGCCCATCTTCGTGAGGTGATGCGTGCCTCCAAAAACGTATAGAAAGTCGCCAACGACCTGTTGAGTCGAGTCCTTGAAGCCGCATAGCGGGGCATTGTCCTCGAAGACCTTGATGCCTCTGTACCGCGACGCCTCGCGCAGGCCGTGTGTCTGAACCGTGCGCCACTTCTCTGCGACGAGATCGAAGTAGTCGACCTCCACAGTGCCAGTGAAGAGGTACGCGCGTGCGGTCGCTTCATGCACGGCGAAGGACCAGCAAAGCCATACGCCCGTTCGGTTTTCGGACTGAGGGAAGGCAGGTAGCGCACGCCAGGTGGTGGGGTGAGCGAGGTCGAGGCAGCAAAAGTCGCGGTAGAACGGGCCTTTCGTCTCGCCCAAGCCGCCGCCAATGTATAACTTTCCTGCAGGACATCAGTGAAAGAGGTGAACTGAATGCACACAACTTACCGTTCCAGATGAACCCAGCAAATCCGAGGCGAGGTTTCATCGGGCCTTTCTTTCTCACATGCACTTTACGCCAGGTGCCCATGACCTGAAGCTCTGGACTCGTCACGCGCGCGCTCGCCGTCAAGCTCGGGTCGGGATGTCGCAGAGATGTAATCCTGAAGAGCTTGCCCGTGTCGCGGATGCGCGTCGCCTCGGGGGTGATAATCGATTCGACGCCAATGTTGTACCGGCGGTCGACGGCCATTGAAGTGTTTCCAAGAAGCTCAAAGACGTCGGATGCAAGTGCGTGGGCGGTGACGAGCTCTTTGGTGAGCTGCGGGAGGGCGATGTTGTGCCGTATCCATTCTTTTTCGAGAGGTTAGATTCGGGCAAGGCGAAAAAGGTGTTCCGCACCGAACAAGGGTGTACTGAGCGAAAAACGCGTGGTCATCCACACGACACGCGCTTCTTCGAGCCAGGTTAGGGCCTGAAAAGTCGTGAGGAAGCGAAAATACCAAATACGTGCGCGAAAATCGCACCTCCTCCGAGTGATTTATCGCGATTGCACATCGGGCGAGTTGATTGTAGCACATCATCAAAAAGGTCTTGAGGAGGGGATCTGGGCTGATATAAGGCTGCCACTGGCGTCCTCCACCGCTCTTCTCCGCTTCCAATGGTATGCTGATGTTCTCGTCATCCAAGAGCGCGTAACATGCCGAAATGTACGCCTCCCGAGCGGCAAAGTAGTTGCCCTGGTCGAAAGCTGAATCACCGCGTTCTCGAGATGGTCTGTCATAGAAGTTTAGAATGTAGCCCGTGACGACATCGGTGACACTCACCGGTGTTTTTCGAGGATAAAAACTGTGCTGGAGCGGACGGCGTGCTCAACGTTGTCGCCCATGTTGGTGTTATCCCAAGGCAGATTACCGTCGCTCACGTAATCGCACCTTTGCACCCAGTCTTTGAGGTTCGTTTGGTTAGCACTTTTCTTGTGTAGCTAAGTACTAGGTTAATTACTGCCTGCGTAGCTAGCTAGATTGTGGGCGAGGCACGGAGTGCCTTCCAGCCCATCGTGGGGACCTTTTTCGAGACGAGCGGAGACACCCAGCCGGAGTAGGAATGCGTGGTCATGACGCGCCGAGTGAGTCTCGGTCGGTCCCCATCGTAAGAAGGAGTGAGCACGGGTTCCGAACGATTCAGAGATCTGCACTTAATATATGGGCTTCTCGTTGTGAGCACCAGAGACTAAACCCAGTTGGAGAGATGAGGATGGCTTGTAGTAGTCTCCTATAGGATTGTATGAATTTGCACATGAGCCATCTGGAAACGCACATAATTGCGACTCAGATATCTTAGCGCCTGTAATGGCTGTGCATTTGTTGTGAATTTGAGCCCTGCTATCCCGTGGATTTTCCGTGCTGTGGCCGCAATTTGCTTATTGTCAATCTGTATATGCCTCTAAGAAACCTCAATTCCCTTTTCTGGGCGGCCGGTGCATGTCCGTGAGCAAGATACACCTGGTATATGGTAGGTCACCGGGACACCCTACCATAAATAGCGGACAGAAGACACGCTAAACCTAGCTTTCCGGGTTCCCTGAACCTCTGCATCTTCATATTCTAAAACTTGGACCAGTAATATGTCATGAAGCCCGGCTTTCTGCACCATGGACCGAGGATAATTAGCTTGTTTTCCCCTTCATCTTCGTCTGGGAAAGGGTATTGCGCTGATTCGGACTTGTGTCACATCGCCGCTGAACAGATCATCTCTGTGGTTAGCATGTCAGCTACTTAGGATTTTCCAAGTGATAGATTTATTTTGTGACATGAAAGAGCCGAGGATTAAATATATATTCGGCCATCGGAATGGTTGGCATGAGGAGTAGGTTTTGTCCAATGATTCGAGGAGGGTAGTTTGCCCAGTCCAAGAATTAGCAAGACTTACAGAACAGGTAGGTTCAATTAGCAATTTACTGGGAGGTCATCTAGTCAGACTCAGATATCCGAGTAGCACACTTAGACTTGAACGGTTTTAGGGGCATGACAAATCCTTCGAGGTGGAGCAGTGATATCAAGATCAATCCTTTGTGCTGCGAGCACCCGGTTGCGTCTGAAAGAGTTTCGCAGAATACTGGAAGTTTGGCCGTAAATTGTATGATTGCACCTGGAATATTGTGGGCACTGAGGCCGAGCGTCGAAGTGCTGCCTTACGTGCTCATGATATGTCGCCAAGTGTAGATGTATGAGTAGCGAACTTGAATGGATCGTCTTGGTGACCTGAGAACACAGCTTGAGGCACCAGAGGTCTTGAATAACTCCTTGTAAGGCACTCAGATGTTCAGTTGGGGGGTAGTGTAGCATCATACCAAGAGAAGTTAGCATTATACATATGGTATATCTGCTGGCATATCTCTTTTGGAGTGCTTCGTCGAGGTAGTCATTCTGACACCGTGTAATAAAGGACTTAAACAGATATTTCTCGTACTGCCATTGAAATTGCTGGTCCAACCTGCTTGATGGCGGACGGGGGTCTGTTGCCTATTTGCGAGGCAGGTCCATAACCTCGGGGTGCAATCTCCTTCGATCTTCAAGAGGTGTTAGCGCTAGCACTCTCGCTCTAAAGGACCCTATTACTAGTAGCTCCCTTCATGTTTGAACGTCTGAAGACTGTCATTTGTTGGACAAACTTCCTTAGTAGAGGTCTCTTTAGCAGTCCAATAGGGCTGCCACCCATGCGGGGTACGGCGACCGCCCAAAAACGGCTGAGAGCCAGGTTCAATTGAGTGAACACCGGCCGTGTCTGGAGGAGAGGATCTGGGATGAACATGGCCATGTATGGCCGTCATGCTTTTATTGAGTAGCCTGTCATTTGACTGTACTATCTGGAGCAAGGTTAATACAGCAACTTGAATCTTTGTAATTTATTAGCAGCCTCGTTATGTACGGCGGGATCCTTGTACGGAAAGCTCATCATCCGCCCATAATATGTATGTGTAGTGGACAGAGTTTGTATCCTGCAGGCCATATTTTCCAGCATACAACTAACTGCAGAGCTCGCTTTGGAGTTTGCGAAGCACTATATGGTTGCTTGGCATGCAGTGGCCGCAGCGCTGGGTAGAACCGCGCATTGTGACCGTATACCATGGCTCGCGGGTCAATTGGTTCCGCTACGCTATCAGATCGTGAAGAGTTTAATGCCTTGAAATTACGGCCATTGGGTTACGACTGTCCTACGGCTCGGTCAGACGATTGCCAGGCGCTTAGCCGGCCCTGGGTGTTGTCCGTCCTGCCGTATATTTTCTGCTTATATTTTGGTATAGTGCCAAGCTGTAGCGTCGTGGAGGGTTCAAAGTCATGATAATATAGGCCCATCTCTACGGCCGACAACCCATGTGTTTTGGTGTGTAGACCTACTGGGCACTACCACACTGGTGGGGCTCTAGGACATAAAGTCCATAAGAAACGGCAGCTGGACACAGTTATGCCCTCGGGAGTCACGGAGCTAGTCCATGTCCTGTATATTGAATCTGACAGGACAGTGTTTCATAATGCAAGATAAACAGCATCAGCCGAAAGCGCTCGTATATGCAAGGAGAGGAGGGTCAACGTTATTAGCATGTTAATTCATTCCTCGTATATGGAATAGATACGTACCGGGTTAGTGTTTCTGGTGGACTATCCTCGTGTCGTTCAGGATGTCTTCTTTCGAGCAGCAATTTTGGTGACGTGATTCCGAATATTCAGCATGCTCGTACCGCGGGGTTTGTAATTCTTTACTTCATAGCCATTAGCTGATTGGACGTGATATTATAACACACATTCGGGGGGTAACAATGTCACATTCAAGGCACAGAATAGCGCAGTGGTACATGGCTTTAGCACATAGCCTAGCAAGAAGTGTAATAGTATGCAGCTGGGTGATTTACCGATGTCATGAACTCCGTTAAGGTATTACATGCAATCCAGACCCGCATTTGAGCCTTCATTCCCAATCAAGCCGCGAGGGATGTCGAATCAGCCATCATAGAATGCGCTCCAACGTGAGGGAGAAATATAACAGGCAGTTATAGGACGAGGGGCATAGCTTAGTGAGAACTAGAAGGCTAGTCGAGAGAGAGAAAATAGGTAGGGGGGTAATAGGGGAGTAGCAAGCGAGCAGCTGAAGCAATAGCGAACCTTCAATGGTGTTTGCGCGGCAGCATTAGCAATGATATCAGATCAGCAATGGAATAGCCCACCTGCAAGAGGAACGGCCAATTCGCAGTCACATCAGCAGTCGCGCAAGCAGCACGAGCCGGGGGAAGGCCCTAGGAAATAGTAAATAGCAGACTGTCAGGGGATAACCGACCCAGCGTAGCGCCAGCAGCTGAGCAAAGCTTCAGGCAACAACAACAGCAGACAGCGAGGATACTGGCGAGAGGGATACCCAACTCGCTGTAGCAGCAGCAGAAGCAGCAGCAGGGCAAGGCCCTAAGGAAATAGTGAACAGCGTAGCAAACAGCATAGCAAATGGTGGGAACAGCGCAGCAGACTGGATAGCGAGGCGGCGGCGGCGGGTGGACGTAACATGCAGGCCGAGTTGCAGGATCTAGGTGACATGCCGATCGATAGTAGTGAATCGAAGCTTGCGTTGGCGGAAGGGCGAATGATGTCGAGGGGACTCTCGGGATGAGAGAACAGTCAGGGGTTGAGTTGTGATCGCCGCCGCAGGCGTAGCTCAGATGGGTAAAACAGCCAACGTCGATGGGCGTTGAATCAATTCGCGACGCTCTCGAGACACCGTCGCCACGTGTATCTGGAAAGAACGAGATAATACTGATTTAGTTGAGGAAGTCAATCACACACCTCGTATGCTGCGTTATAGGTCTACCACCATTGTCCTTCGCTCTTTTCTCGGCCCTATTTTGTGTAGCCGCCATTTTGGAAGAGGTCTTGAGATTCAATTTTGTGGCTAGCAAGCTGAGCAGAGTGCCAGCTGGCACCCGGAAGATAGGAAGCATCGGTGAAAGAGACATATTTGCAGACTTCCATACTGCGAGAATCTCAGAAACGAGATTTTGAAGCACTCAACGCGGCCATTGAGGGGCGGCATTGAGGCTGAGCAAGCCTTCGAGGCGAGATGGTGGTGGCACGAAGCAGAGAGCGTCACGTGCCGCCCGCCACTCGCTCGAAGACTTAGTTCTATCCTTTCATTCGTTCCTCACTTCACTTTAGAACCGCAATTTGCGCCTTAACCCAGAACAATCACCGGTACACCAACGTTCGCAAAATTCGCGACGTTGACAACCGGTTTACGAAGGTGTACACTGAACAGGAAGTGGTGAGCGAAATTTTGCTCCAGAAAATGATTTGGCCTCGCTGACGACATGAGGCAGCCACTGACACTTCGCTTACGGCACCTCGAGCAGCAAGACCACGACGCGTCAATAGCGCGTCAATCGCGTTCTGACGCGTTAAGATGGGTGTGGACGACGATTCAGCCCCCCCGAATGTCGATGTGAAGGAGGAAGGTGTGCTTTGTGCTTCTTTCAGGCCAACTGATAACCTACGACCCCCATTTCGCAGCTACACAGGCTGTTCGTACCCGCTGGCGACCTCTTATTGAGATAGTCCCCTTGGAAATCTGGAGGGAATGCTGGATGTATGCGAACGCCCGTGGCCATAGGACTCTGACCTCCGTTTGCAGACTGTTCCGCGACATCTGCCTCCCATTCGTTTTCAAGGAACTCTCGTACTCACCAGCGATAGGACAGGCGCTTGCAGACACGAATGACAACACTTCGGCGCGTAAAGGTTGGGTCTACGACATGAAAGCACGAGCCAAACGTATGACAGAACTCGCCGGCAGTCAACAACACGCGTCCATGGTGCGTGAATGCAAGCTCTACGCCTTTTTCGGCACTCGTAGACGCAAGGCCATCAAGAGATCCAACCCCGTCAAAAGCGCATATAACGCCTTCGTAGAGGCTTTCGTATCCGCACTGCCCCGTTTTACAAACCTGACTCGGGTGGATATAACCGCAGATCTGGACATCGACAACAGGATCCTCAGTGCCCTTGCCTTCATCCCAAAAATTGATTCTGTATGCCTCAGCGGGACGTTCGCAAGAGGTGAATCAATAGACCCATTAATCAAGCCCAGGATTCTGGAGGTGTATCAAGAAGATGGCATCGAATACTCGGACCCTCCATCCAACGTACGGCGGGTTGTTTCCGTTCAGCGGCTGGAAGAACTTCACCTTCATTCATATATTCTCGCCCCCCGGATCATGTATGCGCTCACACCGCAAGGGAATTGCTCGCGTCTCACAGTCTTGGAGATCGACTTCGTCACAGGGCACGCCGCTGTTCTCTCGGCGTTTCTGGGAGTCTGCCCCCAACTTCGTACTCTCCTCATCAACGATCACTACGACTTCGACCCACAGCCGGCATTTTTCGAGTTTACGATCTCACCGACGACAATTCCCCTCCTCGAGGCTTTCTTCGGCCCTGTCTTTCTAGCAAGTCTGATTATCCCCGGTCGTCCAGTACGGAAAATCGCCTTAGACTTGTTTCAATGGGACAAGACGTTAGACGCCGTCGTTACAACACTGGAACGGTTGAGTCGAAGCACAGGCCCCGTTCGCGAGCTCAAGCTTCCCGCCGTCGTTTGCTATCCCGACGTCCCGACTACGATTGCACGGTTATTTCCTGACCTGACAAGCCTCAAATTTCGCGTCGACGATGCAGAACATGAGCATGATGTCAACTGTGCGCCAGAAGAGAGAACTCTAGTAGACGACGAAAGACGGTTGGATTTCGTCGTTCACAGGCATCATTGCCCGTTTAGCTACGAGGTACATGTCCTTTCCCTGTCATCCAGCGGCACAACCTGACTACTGTAACCAGGGTTTGTTATGCCAGATTGCCAGCCTGCAAGTCTCCCTCCCTCGAGGACTGGAACGCCTGAGGCTGAATCAATTTGACATGACCCTCCGGGACAATAATAGGATGTTCGGCCAGTGTCTATCGGGTGCAGTGGCAACTGTTGTTGCGACCTTGTTAGGAGCCACGTATCCGCTGAAGGAGCTCTGGATTGGGAAAGAGCATCCCGATGTGACCTTCCAACGGCAGGAATATCGGGGGGAATGGAAAGTCGTACTGCGGCGTCGAGACCATTGGCATCCCTCTTATGACGGAGATTGGGACTAAGGACTTTAGTTTTTCTCTTCGATAATTTCCTCCTTCATGTCATACTAATGGCAATCCTTCTCTTCTGTATGTTGGTGTGGAATGGCCTCCGTCGACGATCACTCTATTCTGGCTGATTGCCATTCTCGTCATCGACGCCGCAACTTGTTCCAAAGTTCGGAGCCCGCATTTGATTGTTTGAAGCAGCTGGGGATGTTGCTTCCACCGCCTCTTCTTTTGATATCTGGATGACTTCACAATTCAGAACCCGATCGAGACCCCACTTCATATTGCGGTCAGTGTGGATGGTAATCAGAAAAATCTTGCATGCATCTTTACTTCGATGCCTCGCATTTACTAATTTAACATCGTCAACAGGTGTTCCCTGTGGTTCAACAGCGCTAAATCCTGATGCCAGCATCTTTTTCGACCGAGAATTATTTCGGCATCTGCCCCACATCCGGAGTCCGAGCTCGGAGCAGCAATTTACGCGCGTGGCAGTATGAACTGACATCATTGCAAGTGTTGCGTACACTTCTCATCCTGCGCTCAAAAACGATGATTACGCGACTCATCTTCCAAAAACAATCATGGCCTGTGAGCCTTGTAGTTAAAAAAGGCCTTCCTGTGTGAAGCCGAAGAGCTTGTTAGACGATGGTCACATGGCTTCATGAAAGTTGAACATTCGTCAGGAACATCGGCCTTATCAGACCAGCATCTTGTCCTCCGCCACCATCTCTTCATTGGTATAAGTGCGCCATCGATAACTTCAAGAGCAGATCAGACATTCTCATTCGCCATGCCAGCCATAGATGTTCAGAACGATACCAAGAAACGGCCAGAGGTCGCTCCTGACGCTTTTCGTGTGATGTTGACGGGATTTGGAGTGAGTGTATGTCCTTCGTTTCACTTGTCGGAAGGTTGTCTACATGGCGGTGGCATCCTCAGTTGACAGGTTCTCTTTCATAGCCATTTATGCACTACACTGAAAATCCGTCATGGCTAGCCGTGAAGCCATTGCAAAACGTCGTCCTCCAGACCGGCGTGCTACCAGACAACACCCCACAACCATCATTTTCCACCACCTCGTCTATCCCAACATCATCTTCGAACATAACGCCCATCTCGCAGGGCCCAAGCACACCACGTCCAATCCATATCACAACCCTCCAGATCCCCGTCCTCTACCACGCTGTGCTAGACATTGTGCCGGGCCTACACGCCCGCCCACCGATTCTCCCGCCCGATGCCTCGGAAGAGTGTGCAGAGCCCCCAGACAACGCATACGACTTCATCTTCCACATCGGCGTGGCCGGTCGGGGGCCATTACGCATGGAACGCCTAGGGCACAAGTACGGTTACCACATGAAGGACGCGTCGGGCAAGCTCGCCCCCGTGGTGCGTGTGTCACCGAAGGACTTCACGCGGCACGAAGGGCCGAGTGTGAGCGTGGACGGAGTCGGCGTTGGGACCCTGTCGCCTCCGATCAGTGCGGCGGAGAGCATGGAGCGTGAGCGCCTTGGGATGGATATGACCGAGTCCAGCGGAGACACTATGGTGCGCCCGACGAGGGGCTTTGGAGTCAACTATGAAAACTTCCAGGAAGAGTACACAACGCACATTGACGTTACTCGACTTGTGCAGGACCTCAAACGGTCGGGAGTTGAGGTGTGTCATTTGCCTCAGTTTCGATCGTCCGAAAAATCCTGAGTGTTCATCGCTGTAGCAAATATACACTTCGATGGATGCTGGCCATTATCTTTGCGATTTCATATACTATTGTTCGCTAGCCGAGGTCAAGCGATCCTCGAAACCATACGAGAAACGTCGCAACACTCAAGTGCTCTTCCTACACTGCCCACCGGTCGGCCAGCCTCTCACAACCAAGGAGGTCACTGATGCTATCAAGAAAATTATCATCTGGGTCTGCAGCGAGCAGCAGATCGATGACGAGAGGGACGATGCTGTCGTCGCCGCAGGCTGATCGTTCTTCATCCGGGCCAAATCACCATCCTGCAACATATATCCTCGATCAGCCCTCACCTTTAGGGCACCCCCTTCATTGGATTTTTTTGGGTAGAGTGAGATGCTCCTTCTAGCTTGGATGAAGATGTGAGTGGCGTACATATTGTTGTTTCCTCTTCTTGGTCCTTGTAATCCTCTTTTTTCGGTTGTCGACCACACGCATATCCATCTCAGCCATATACCTTACAACGATGCTGACTCTTTCATGTATTTTTTATCATGTTTTGCGTGCAGAATACACGATTTTGAGCGAAGTCTCATTTGGTTTGGAAGTGTTACAGTCATCCACCGGCTAATGTTACATAATCAGCCGGTGATACACCCAAACCCGATTTCACTCTCCTGCAAGAACGGTGATATCTAGAAGCACAAAACAAGTTGTAGTGAGAAGAAGCACTGTAAAGGTGTCCTTGTAACGTGTTTCGTAAATAAATTAACCGTCTGAGAACTAAAGATTCTTCTGAATGCTTCTGTGTTCCAACCGAAATCCTGGGTTCTGAATTTATAGACGAAGGTGGGAGCACCTATGAGCGGGAATTAGAGCCAACGGATGTTAATTTTAATTAATGTGATACAAGTCAAGTCAAACGGAAGCATCTTTGCATGACTGGGGGCAACGTTGGCACTGTCTTACTGCGAGAACTACGTGATATATGGTTGTTCAACATGCACAAAGCATGTCCAGCGCTTTTAAGCCAAAAAAAATTGAATTCCACCACAATAACATCGTATTCCCCACTCAACTGCTTGTCCTACTTCTTACTATGGTTGGCCGTCCCAAGTCGCTAGCCCAGCGGCAACAGGAGGCAAAGCGTGCTCATGAAGCGTTGATGTCACGTGCAGTCGAGGCCTACCGTGCTGAGCTCGAGAAGCCAGACCATCGTGCCCGTCGAGGGCTGCGCACTATCTGCAAAGATTTCGAACAGCTTTACTTCGAGGAGACTGGAGATCGAATCCGTCTCAGTCATATGACCCTTAGTCGACTGGCTGATGGTGGGCTAACTCGAGTCCAGGCCAATGCCACCCGTTCATGGCTCTCGAAGGGTGAAGAAGATGTTGTCGTCGAATTTATCCTGGACATGGCTGCACGTGGATGGCCACTCAGTCATAGACGTCTCAAGGAGCATGTCGATATGATTTGCCATGCCCGCAAACGCAAGAACTTCCCAGTCGAGGGTGTGGGTCAAAACTGGACCACACGCTTTGTGCAGCGACACTCCGACCGTCTCAAGATGAAAGACTCTCGCCCTCTTGAGGACAAGCGAGGCCGTGGTGCCAATCCGACAGCCAACAAGCAGTACTGGGCCCTACTCAACGAGACGATCAAGAAATACAACATCCGGCCTGAGACCACCTTTGGAACTGATGAGATCGGCATACAGAACCGCGGCGAGGAAAGCGAGCGTGTCATTGCTCCAGCCCATGGAAAGGGGCCACAATATCAGCAACGTGGTGGGACTCGCGAAAACACCACCGTTCTGGTCACCATCTGTGCTGATGGCACAGCTATTCCTCCTACCGTTATTTTCAAGGGTGAGGCCCTCCAAGTTGGATGGGGTGACAATAACCCTCTAAATGCGACGTAAGTTCTCCTCTCATTTTGTCACGACTCACCTTTTCTGGATCTAATCATGATATTTAATTGCAGGCTTGGCTACCAGAAGAAGGGCTGGACGGACGGAGAGATCGGTGCAGAGTGGATCAAGATCTTCGATAAGGCAACAAAGGACAAAGTCAAGCAAGGAGAGTATCGCCTTCTCTTGGTCGATGGCCACAATTCTCACTATACTGTCGCCTTCCTGCTTTATGCACGTGAACACCTTATCCTCGTCATTTGCTATCCTTCTCACACCACCCACATCTATCAGGGGCTTGACGTCGTGATATTTGCGGTCTTGAAGCGCTGCATTGGTGAGGAACGGGACGGATGGCTACGAAAGTATGGGATTGCGATGGATAAGAAGAATTTTCTCGAGATCTACAGCAGGGCACATGTGCGAGCACTCACCGAGGACAACGTCAAGGCAGCATTTCGCAAGACTGGCGTGTGGCCATTCAACCCCGATGTCGTTACTCCTGACATGCTTGCTCCTAGCAAGGAAACTTCGTCTGAAGCTACCTTGCCGCTCGTATCAACCGACCCAGCCATCAATGTTCTTGCGACCATGTTCCGCAAGCTGGCCGTATCATCTGACGTCGAATCTGGTACAATCTCCGAGGTACCTCCATCTGGAAGTGGCACCAAACATGCGGCGATCAACGAAGCGGTTGCTGGTCTATCACAAACCAAGCTGGCTCACCTCATTTCAACCACACTCATCACATCTGACGACGCCATGCCCACCACCATCCCTCACACCATCCCTACTCATGTTCCCGCACCACCACCCCTCCTGTCGATTCAACCACAGACCGAGACAGAAGTTCTCCTGCTGGCAGCCCTCCGTGAATCTCATGACACAAACAGCAAGCTTGCAAGCCGGAACATTGAGCTCCAGGCGAACAATCTGCTCAACGAGGTGTACTGTGGCAAAGCGAAATCTCAGCTTCAGCATCAGGAAGAGAAGAAGAAGGGTGGATGCACTGGGAAGGAGACGCTCAAGGCCGATGGTCTGGGCCGTCTTCTAACTGGGGACGAGTTTTACGAGGCACGGCAGGAGCATGAGAAGCGCAAACGACTTGAGGCGCGGGACAAGGCTGAGAGGAAGGACGCCCGAGCTGCATATCAGGCAGCGAAGGCAAAGTGGGACAAGGAGGAAGAGGGGCGGAAGGCGCTCAAGGAACAGGAGGCCGAGAAGCACAAGAAGGCTGTGGCAGCGTGGGAGAAGGCGAAGACAAGAGCAAATGCAGTCCGGACTGGACGTGCTTCGACATTCAAATCCCCAAAGCCCAAGATGGGATTTGTTCCCAAGCGTGTCCCCCCACCGAAGTTGAAGGATTTTTTGGGTGGTTCAGCGGCAGAGTCGAGCGAGGAAGACGAGGATACTGACGAGGCCGAGTAGGTGTCTTATCTCGGATCTTGTGTCACATGCCTGTCACGTCGCCGGCCTGGTGTCTCATTGGCTGATGTGGACATTTTTCCCATCTCTCCGCGGTTTCGTCGATATCTCCACCGTTTCTGGCCCTTTTTATTCAGTTTTTTTTGTATTGTATGCAGACGGACAATGTCTCGTAGCTAAAACACTATTCATCGCTGTGCGTGGACTTTTTTTCGAGTGCAAACGGTTTTCCATTTTGGGTGTATCGTTAGCCAGTGGATGACTGTAGCAACTAATGTCGAAGACTGGTCTAGGCTCTTTGGTCGAAAAGCTCCTTCTACGACGATGGCATTCACAACAACAAATTGCTCTTCTGCTAGAAGAAAGTTGATAAGTTGTTCCTTCTTACCCAGAACATTGAAGACTTGTGAACTGACACATGGTTACCTCTAAGTATAGCGCAGGCGGCGTCGGTGATGCCCTCGATGACTCAAACAGTACAGCCTCTCGTGCTAAATCATTTCGACGTCCGCCTTCCGCGCCCGACGCCCCTCGCTCCATTGTGTCGGGGGGTGGTAACAGACGACGACACTGTCATGCCAGGGCTGACACATGGAACGGAGCAAGATGTGATTCAGACTCGCTGGCGAGCCTCTGCCTCCGGTGTTTCTTCGACTCGGAAGCACAGTCGACTGACTTCCTCTGACTTCGGACTGCGCGGTTCTTCCTCGGCGCCCCTGATCTCATTGGCCCAGCGGGCCATATAAGCCTGGCCTTGGACGACGGAGACTCTGGACAACTGACATCCCGACGCCCTTCTTGTCTCCGTGCCCGGAATGCTCCGCCAGACTTGAAATCTGGGCTGTGCCCGACTCGCCCTAGGTACCTTTATAATTACTCTCCTCTCGTTCGTCAGTTCTATTTCGCTCTCGCTCTCCTACGTCCTAGCGTCCGATTACTTTCTTATCTTCGAGGACCAACACCGCCATCGGGCTCCGTACCGGACGTTGTCCGAATAAATGTCAGACCCTTTGTTATACATTCGCCTTGTCGTGTGCTCAACCATTGTGTCCAGATTACAATAAGGCGCTTAACATTTCCTCACAATAATTTGCCACCGGCATACTTGCCCTGCATACACAAAGGCAACGGCCTTTGCTTTGCCAATTTACTATAAAGAGCCCGCTAGCGGCGACACCCACATTGTCCGCTGCTAACGATGACCCCATTACCCACCGCTACGAGATACAGCGGCTCCTGGATACGACGCCCATGTTGGCAATTCGACGAATCCGAAAGCATCATAGACGAAGAAGACGACTACGCATGGTACTACACTCACCCAGAGCGGTGCATCTGGAGACCACGCAGATCACGCCGACCAACGTCTCTTAAGAAGGGCGCCGAGCTTCTTGAACAGAGGTGGAGCTCCCGACCGGATACGCCGACGCTCGACGCACGCAGTAGCATGTCCACGCAGTCATCTGGGCTGTCGTCGCTGCTCTCGTCGAAGATATCTGATTCACTGTGTTTAGGACCAACAGGAGTGGAGGGAGCGGATAGGTGGCAGGCGGGCTCATACCCGAAGGCGGCCACAAGAATACACGAATTACCGTCGTCGTTCGTCGATCCCTGCCTGCTGGGCGATCAGAGCAAACTATCAGCGGAATATGGGCAACAAGACTCGAGCCTTCTCTCTGCGGTCAAACAATGGCGTCGCATCCCCCTTCTCCAATTCAAAATTAATAGCCTTTAATCATTGCAATGCCTTTCTTTTATTCTACATTCACTTGTACTAATATCGCTGTCTACTGTTTGTGTCTGAAGCATAACTTCTCGGAGGACTACTTGTAGCACGTTCTTCGAGTTCCCGATGTCATACGCATTGTACCTTACCTTATAGCTACATACTTAATTACCTATAATATTGCAATTAATTGCTACCCAACATCCAACAGTCGGTGCACTATCTCGACGTCTCAATGTGGTAGTGCAAGTATGGCACTTGATCTTGAAGTCATCTCTGACTACTTTATATCAGTCCGAGTATCTGGGTCGGACAACCATCGCCCTACCATTGCCCCAAGTAGGTTCAGGAACACACAACTCAAACGCTCATGAGGCAACAATGCTTTTGCAGAATATGAAAATTTATGATTTACCCACTACGCATCCGTACAACAGAGGCAGGCATTGTTCGTTAAACTACTCCATCTACCAAACATTTAGTCGAGGTCGTCGTAGAACTCGCGCTCGAGGAGCTCGTCGTATTCGCGGGCAACGGGAGCCTCAGCGGAGGGGTCCGCAGCGGCACCCTTCCTGCCCTTGATCCATTTCCTGAGGTGGTTGATGCCGAGGAAAGGTTCGCGGGCCATCAACTCTTCCTCGGAGGTGGAGAGCTCGCGTTCTTGAAGGTCATCGAAGTAGCGCTCGAGGAGCTCATCGTAGTCGCGGGCCTCAGGGGCGGCGGGCTCAGCGGCAGCCTTCTTGGCCGCCTCCGCTTCCTTCTTCTTCTTCTCTTCCTCGGCCTTCTTCTTGGGGTTGAAGATGCCCTTGATCCATGTGAGGAAGCCGGGCTCACGGGCCTCGAGCTCGTCGACCTCGCGGGCGAAGACTACTTCGTTGGTGGACTCGCGACCGACGAGAGGGGGTGACTCGAAGTTGCCCTCAGCAGCGGGGGCGGTCTTCTTCTTGCCGAGCCACTTCCTGAGGTGGTTGAAGCCGAGGATAGGCTCACGCTCCATGAGCTCGTCGAACTCGCGGGTGAACAGGTCCTCGTCGAACTCGAGCTCACGGGCGTACTCGGCGCCAGCATCGGGGGCGGGGGCGGCGGCACCCTTCCTGCCCTTGATCCATTTCTTGAGGTGGTTGAAGCCGAGGAGTGGGTCGCGCTCCATCAGGTCTTCGAACTCCTCTCGCTCCATGAGCTCCTCGAAGTCATCGCGCTCGCTCCTGTAATAGGAGTTTAGATATTTGTCCCTACATTGCAGTATAGAAAGACGACTTACAATCGGTGGGGAGTGAAGCGGCGGCCGTAGATGCCACCAGCGAACTCGTTGTCCTCGCGACTAGAAAGGAAGACTGTCAGACGAGAGGTTTTCGGGAGGATGCCGACAGGTACTCACGTTACGAGGGAGTCATCAGCATCGTAGTAAGGGTAGGCAACAGCAGGCGCGACGGCGGCAGCAGCGAGGAAAAGGGAAGCAGCAGTCTTGACTTGAACCATGTTGTCGAATTAAAGGTTACAGAAATGTGGGAGGGAGGCGATCAACGCAAAAATTTAGTGGGTGGTGGGGGAATGAGACCAGCTGAGGAAACATGATGGGAGCTTGCGTCTTTATATACCCTGCGTAGCCCAGCCACACCCTGCCATCAATCACCGGGGATCCACTTGTGGTAAACATCAAGAATAGGGTCCAGGGTGAGACGTTTGCGGCGGTACTTCAGCCGGATCGCCAGTGTCCGCACCGAACTGACACGCTTCCGGAGGCTTCAGAGACACGAAATTCCTGTGTTGCTTTCGTAGTGTCTTTCGAGCAGACGAGAAGAAAAATATGACTATATCTTGACCACCAAATAGGCTTTGAATAAGCATGACTTGCCCCTCGAAATAATTCTTCGGTGGAACGGAAGAAATAACAAATGTCGATCCCCTGAAACGCGTTGAAACGCAGGTCTTCAGGTCCGCGAAGACTCTTCGTCTACAATCAGCGACCGCTTGTTAATGGGAAGGAAGTCGTGCTCAACCTTTTACCAATCCTAACATGCATTTCAGCCCCCTGCTCAGGAAGAGACTCAGGTTGGAGGCGACGAGTACGCACCATATTTTTACGTCCGCCCGGAGCTCGGAGAATCGGCAGTTCAACCAGGGTAGCAGTGCTCGCCTATCACAGCCTCCACCCCACTGAAGCCCACTGACGCTCCAAACAGCCCCAAACCCACTGCGGCCAACGCGGTGCGTTTGGAGGCTATGGCAACAGTCAGCGACAAATTCTCAAAAATCGCTGTTTCGTGATGGGCTTGGCCACGTCATGCATTCGCCATCGATCCCTGATTGCCCAAAGTTTTACGAGGCGGCATTGACACCACCTGCAGTGGGCCGATAGTCCAGAACGGAGAATGGTGACCGGACAGAAAGAAGACGAAAGAAGGGACTCCATTGCGCAAGATTGAGCATGTCAGACGATCGACATGGGCTGTACGTGTTACCAGTGTACTGTGGACACAGTCAAGGGGCGGACGTCGGTTAATTCATCCATCCACCCACCAGAGTTATACAGCGCCTACAACCGTGCCAAGCCCGTGATCAAAAAGCGAAAATGCGTACAAACTACTGATACACATGGTACATCTCAACCAGCCTGATACTTACTTAAATTACATAGATCAGAGGGTCGTCCTGGTGAATTAGGTGTGTATATAACAGTAGAAATGGATCAATCATGGTCCACCTCACTCCATGAACATCCGCGATGGGAGTGGTAAAGAAGTGATGAAGAGACAGGACAGAAACCCACGACTAACGATCAGAAGATAGACAAGCTGCGCATTCACAGGGGTGTGGGGTCAGGGGAAAGAAGAGGTCAGTCCCTCTTGGAGGCAGTTGGGGTGCATAAAAGCCAGCCGTTCGCGCACATCATGCAGGAATGAGAACGACCGTCAAAGCGTCCCAGAGCGAACGACGGACGAAAAGAGCATTTTGACTGTCCTCAGGCGCCATCCGATGCTTTGTTTTTGTTCTTGCTTCCCTTTGGCCTTCCTCGCGGCCGCTTCGCCTGAAATTCCGTTGACGGAGTCGTAGGCGGTGCACTTCGTTTGTTGCCATTCCCATTCGCACTCGTCGGAGCACTGGCAGCGTTCTGGGAGACAGAAGCGGTTTGCGATTCATTGCCATTTAGCCGACGCTCATTCAGATACCTGTTTCGAGACCATAGTGAGGATCAGAAAGCAAGCCGGGGGAGCAGAGGTACGAAAACGCACTGCGCTGTCTTTTCTTCCAACGTGCTCTGTAAGCTTGGGAGTGGAGGCTGCCCAAGCTCTTGCCGAAGGCGGTCCACGTCGAATTTAGCGATGGCGTAGTCGCCGTCGGTGAGCTGCTTGATTTTTGCACGGGTATCGTTGCACCTGCGAGAACAGAATGACGGATGATGGTCAGCGTCAATGAACTGTAGTTGTTCGCTTATGAGAGTACGCACTCTTTCTCAAGAGAAGCCTCCATAAGATCGACCTAAGAATGGGGTGACGAGATGAGTGTACGCTCTGTGATGTATCACGAAAGATTCTCGAACCTTGTCACGATCTTCGTTGATCTTCAAGAGAGGACTGTCAGCAGCCTGGCACGACATAAAGGTATAGGAACATCGTAACGAACCTCTCTCAAACAATTTAGCAGTCGCGTCCGTTCACTTTCGAGCCTGGTGGGTTGAGCCATTCAGCCCCCTAATCGCGTCATCCGAGGATGTAAGACACATACTTGTTCTTCTGCTCTCTGAGGTCTTGTATCGCTTTTCCCTTCTGCTCAAGCGTCGCGTGCGCAGACAGTATATGCGCGGTGTGCAGCTGCAGCGTCAGCGCATGTTTTCTAGGCAGATAAACGAAATCCAAAAATCAATCCAGTCTTCTGCGACGCCGCGACGATGCGACTTGACTCACTTCAGCTCTGCCGTCTTGGCCAGATGAACTAGATCCTTCGTCCAGTCTCCCTTCGCCACGACAGGGCCCGTCGTCGTCGTCGACCCACTCGCCTGAGGCTGTTGCTGTTGCTGCACTACCTGCGGTTGAGGCTGAGGCTGCGGCTGCTGGGGCGGCTGCCTCTGGGTATCCTGCGGTGCGACATGGGTGATGGGGTGCTGCTGTGGCTGGTGTTGTTGCTGGGCCTGTTGCTGGTGCTGGATGGGCGGGGTATAGTGGAGGAATGATGTTTGGTGATGCTGGATGTGTTGCGACATTAAAGGGTGGTTTGGGTGGTATCCTGCAATCGAGGTCCTTGGGGTCTCCAGAAATCTTTTATTTTCTTTCTTTTTGTGGACGAGGTGGCAGGAGGAGAGCTGAGTTTGCCCACGTGCCTCCGTTTCCAGCGGAGAAACAAATAGCGGTGTGATCCGGGACAGTTCCCAAATTAGCGCCCATGAACGCCATTGAAACATTGAGTGGGCAGAAAAACTAGCGTGGACGAACAACCTATAGAAAACACAGCTATCCATATTATTTTGGTAGCCATTCAAACCCTCTTCCAGGTCAAGCTTTGGTATCACAGCCCATTGATTAACATCTCTGTTCTATTCCATATTCATCTACACCCTTTACTTTACTGGATGACTTTCCTTAACGATTTAGAACGCTTTCAATTCCAGATGCGTGTTCTAAGTTCATAAGCCGAGGTGCCGACAGCCAGGCACATCGAAATCTTTCAGATTCAAGGTCCGACCTGTCAAAGCGACCTCGTCTCAAACCTTCGCTTGGAAGGACCCTCCCTACCCCCCTCTCAACTCCAAATCCGTTCCCAAATGCATTCCAGACCGAAAATTCAACTCCGCGGCCATACAAGACCATGCTCTACATCATCATCACGATCACCGCGCTTTTGTGCTTGGCAGACGCGCTCATTAGATGACGCGTTCTGATCAGGACACTCAGACACGTCCTTGCCCTGTAGACGTGCCCTTTCCTCTAGGGCTTTTTTTGATGGTTTACAACACGTCGTATTGATGGGAAATACACAATAAATGTCACGGAAAGGGGATTTGAGGCTGGTAAGTGAACGGTTAGCATCCCTTGGTTCCTCTTGTTCACCCCCTCAATTTAGCGCTTTTCGTGTAGTTTGAACATCTACGCAGGCGTATTCATGAAAACTCACCATTTATATCACATACGTCGTGTCTGAGTACCTGATCATAGTGACCCAAGCATCAAAAATGCGCCCTTCCTGGTCCCAGTGGCGTATTCGTGTTTGTCCAAATTCTGCTCAAGGGCGTTGCGAAGAATGGTGAAAAGGTTTAAAAGCAGGTGCATTTCTCTCCCTTTTCTCCAGCATTCCCTTGCTAACTGACTTGTCGATCCCTCTCTGCGAACATGTCTCACAATACCAACACCAATGCCAGCACCAATGCCAACGCCAAAACCAACAACTCCCCAGTCGACCCAGCTGGTCCCCCTTCTGGTGGAACTACCAACCCCAGCCAGGCCGGCGCCAACACCCGTCAACCTGTCGGTTGGAATGACCCGACAGCAGGGCCTTACCAGCGCTATGGGGGGATGGACTGGCCGAATCTATCCGTATGTATTTTCACCTTCCTTTATTCACCACAGCTAACAGGTTACTACTTTTTCAGCACCCCCACGCACCACATGCCATGCCACAGTACCCTCCTCCAGGATATCTCACTCAATATGCACCGGTACGTATGTTACTCTGCGTTGTTTCACAGTTGTGTTGATCTCTCGAATCTAGAACCCTTACCCACCCACCTCTGGCCCGAACGATGCCCCGCATGGACCATACCACCCTCCGCCCCCCATTGCTGGCCCATCTCGCCAACCCGCGCTCTCTTACCCCTCCCTGAGGATGACGATGACGACTTTCCACCCACTCACAAGCTGCTCCCGAAGATTGCAAAACCTGCCTCGAAGGTGGCCGGCAGCCGCTGCCCTGCTCCCTCAAAGGGCAAGGGTAAACAGAAAGCCGACACCCCAGCGACTGTCAGCAAGCGGAAGGCAGCTGGTCATGCTGACAACGAACCGGCTGCCAAATGTGTTAAACGTGGTGGCCGTATTGCTGGGGCTGTCAACTACAATGACGATGACATCGACCAATTGCTTGACCTTCTTGAAGACCACCTCCCCACCGGTGGATATGGGTGGAACACCGTTGGCGCTGCGTACAATGAGTGGGCAAACAGCTGTGGACGGCCCGAGAGGACGGTTAAGTCCTTAGAGCTGAAATACAAACAGGTGTGGCTCCATTCAATTTGCGATGTAGCAGTGTTTAATCTCTTGTTCAGTATGTTCGTGCCACAAAGCCAACAGGAGATGCAGAATGCCCACCCTACGTTGAGCGCTCTCATTACATTGAGAGTCTCATCAACAGCAAGGCCGAGACGCGAGATTTGGATGACTCGGAGATTGTCGATGTTGTCGAACTCAGGTATGTGGTGATTCTATCTTGGACTCCTTCCGTCTTGATTTGTTTACAGTTCTGGATCTGAGGACGAGGATGAGGACCACGAGACCGACAAAGAAGATGCCGACCCACCGCGCAAGGACTCTACCAACACCCAACGGCAGCGTGCAACCAAGTCGAAGATCAAGAAGGACACTGAAGAGCGTGGGCCCATGGCTCGCCGCCCCCCAGCTGACAAGATTCTTCAGCCTCGTGCTCGGAATTCATCCCGGAACGATGCACAGCAGCTACTGTCCTCAATCTCTACTGCTCTTGATCCCGCAACTCAGGCTGCCCGCGACGAGGATCGGGCTTCGCGTTCATTGCACACGACTCAGCTGCTCACAATGGGCCAACAACTCCGCGATGCACATGCCACAATTGAAAGCCTACGCACCCAGCTCCAGCAGGCCGAACGAGCAAGATATGAAGCGTCAGGCGGATCGTATCGAGTTGATGTCCCTCTTTCGCCGCAGTAACGACAATGCAGATCGTGATCGCCATCCCTACCAAGCTGCTACCCGCCAGTTCACTCGACACGAGCTTGAAAGCCCATCAGCTTCTCGTCGCTGTCGAGAGCACCATCTCCTCAGGACTCCACATCGCACCTCTCGCCGCTTGCCACACTTCAGCAATCGTCGTGATACACCCCGGTATACTAGTCCCAGCCATCGTGTTCGCCTTGAAACTCTTTATCCTGATGGTGGGCGTCATGTCACTTGGGCCGGGGGGAGTGATGATGATGACCCCACAGATCCCCTCACCACACTTTATCGCAACACTTCCCCTGCTGTTCGGTTTACCATTGACAACACCCCAACCCGTGCTCCTCGGGCCCCTCCTTCTGATGAAGAGGGT